GAAGGCGGAATTCGTTGGGGCGCGGGCCTCCCGCTGTCGCCTCTCCACCAACGCCGCCAAGCTCGTGCTCAGCGCTGCGCCCGCCCGGTGCTGCTTCCGACATGCCTCACTGGTCGACGTCACTCATCCACTTCAGTCGGCGCCAATCTGTCGTTCATGCAAGATGCGTCCGTTTCATCGCAAACGGCCTCTGCCAAACCTTAGCCCTACACCCCGTCTGCCCAACCACCACGCCCTGCAACGCCTACACACCACGCTCGCCTGAATCGCTGCCGACACGCCGACGTCAACCACGCACGCTTACAGCAAGTCTGGCGAGCCGCCCTTCGTATACCCCAAACCACCCACGTCGCTTGGGCGAATCCCCTGCCAATCACGGCTAGCCCTATACACCGCCACCCGCATGTCGTCGATGCACCGCGCTGTCTCGTCAAGACTCGTCCCAATCAGTCGTCCCACCACGCCTGCACCCAACCACGCCTAGTCCATTTTCACCCCCAACATGCGACGCCATGCCCTCCCCCAGCCTGGTTCGTCCAAACTCTACCTGCAATGCTTTTTCCTCAACCCTCTTGACTGTGCCACGGAAATACACTCTGGGGTTGGCGCTACTGCCACCACCTGCTCCACGAAACGTTGTTGTGCGCGCGGGGTAGTGGGAAGAAAAAGGCTACAGTAAGCACGCACACACGCGGGCCAAGCAACACAGTCACACTCATACCGTAGTCACGCATACCACATCCAGCCAAACCACACGCCTGCATGAAACCCTTTCCCCAACACGTCCTTTGCACTTGCACCAACAAAAAAAAGCCACTCCATCCACCAGAATACCATGATTATTATGCCTTTCGCCAACACGCCCACCGTTTACTACCCCCCCCCCCCCAAGTCCGTCTCCATCTCAACGTCATCTCGCGTCGCATCACAAGCACGGCCATCCAAGCGACAATCATCGATGCAACCATGTGCTGCCAATACCGCCCAAGCAACAACCCCCAGTACGTGGCCTCGTCGCGCCTACGCACCCAGATCTGATGCTACTCTCACTCTTGTTGTGCTCGGCCCCACCCGGCACGCATGCCAAAATCATATTGGAATCCTGACACCTCGAGACGACTCGACCCAGGTCGCTTGGGGCGCCTTGCCCAGTTGTCCAGCTTCAGCACGTATCCGATACAGGCTGAAGGCACAATCTCCACTCTTCAGCAGCATGCACTAAGCATTTCATGCTTCTGCACTAGACCGCCTGTGCTGGGTCGGTCCGAATGTTATATGTATACACGTCACGTGACGGCCGCGCTAGCATACCATCACGACATGGGCAATTACCAAAAGGCCAATTTGGGCCCATTGATGCGCACAAGGATGGAGCGCGGTACAGCCAAAGGCGGCTTTCCGACTCTTTATTGAAGGATTTATCCCTTGGCTCCTCAAGCATCATGATGTAAATCTCGGTCGAATTAGACGCCTTCGGCCCTACACTGCACTGCACCAAGCCAGCGATCAGCCCTCTGACGTCAGATTCTATCATGCAGCTCGCTCTCTGAGCCACAAAGTCCAAGATAAGAGTAGACGCGAGCACGCTGAAACAGGGCAAGCATCACACTCAAGACCGGGTTCGGCTTGCTGCCTCTGCAGCCGCCATGCGCGTGTAGCAACAGCCGGCTCGGGGAAGGAGAGGCCTAGTCCCCATGCGACTACGCGTCACCAGCCATCATCGTAATACTTGGAGAGCATCGACATTACGACATGCCTGGGCTTTCAAACCACCGGTTGCGGGACAAGTTACCCGTCCTAGTCGTCGGGAGCCGCAATACGGCGCCAAGCCTGGAACAACCTTCCTGCACGGGGCTCCGGAATCTAGCCTCAGCTCGCCATGGCTTATTCCTTTACTCCGTCATTGGTCTGGTAGAGGCACGCACAACGAGTCGGGCATCATTGGTAGCAAATGGAACGGATATACATGCAAGTTACGATTAAGTTTACGAGTCTAGATGAGCACGTGGGTTTTTTTTTGGGGGGGGGGGGAGGGGGACCGGCACTTGCATGTATGTATGTATGTATGTACCGCAGCGAAATGTGCCGTGAAAAAACGTAGCGCGCAAAATGTACCGTAAACCCTCTAGCCACAAGGTTTCTTGGCATGACGGAAAAAAAAGGGGGGGGGGACAAGACAAGCATTGTGAAAGCGGTTGGTTGGCACGTAATTTATTAGTAGTGACATGGGAAAAGGGTACAAGCATGAAATAAGCAGCAGTGAGCATAAGCAATGTAGTCAAGTTGGAACTGAAATGTGAACATGTTAGCATTGATAGTAGAGCCATCTTGTGTCCAAGCGTGGCGTCAGCCAGGTTGCGTAAGAGCATGGGCGTAGTAGTTATCAAATCCCCACGTAGATATGGCAACGGAACGCATGTCATGGTGATTGCGATCTTCAGTCAGCTGAGGAGCGGATTAGATTGTCATGTTGTAAGAGCATCGAGGATGGTTTTGAGCATCGAGAAAGGATTCGTAGCAGCCGAGGATAACTTTGTGTCAGACGGGTTAATGCCATGGTTTTTTTTCTCTGCTACTTTTACATTTTTTTTGTTTTTATGATACCAATTTGAACGATGAAATTGAGTCTTGAATTACAGTCGTCTTGGGATTTGCATGGTAATATCAAGTTGTGAAATATCATACTAACTTTTGAATTAAGTACACCTTTTTTTTCTTTTTTTTCTTCCTCTTAAACTTAAATCTGTAATACTATACCCTTTTTTTTTCTTATCTTTGCTCCACATAGACTTTTCCATCGCCATTTCCTCGCAACCCATGATAAGAGAAGAAAGAGAAAAAAAACCCTTGAAGAGTCTTGGTCACATTGTTATTTACATGCATACATACTCCTCTTGTGTGTGTGTGTGTGTCTTGGCGTATTTTACGTATAAACGCTATTTCACCCCCCCCCTTTCTTTTTTTGTTTTTTTCCAACCTGGACTTATTGAGAAAGAAATCTTACACATATGGATGTACATGCTGGTGAATCTCCATGTCATCTCATCTCCAGCTTACTTACAGTACAAAAGCATTTAAAAAAGAAAAGAAAAGAAGAATGCAAAGACATGGAAATACTAAAATTATCACTATATACCAACTACATACATAAAGTATGTACATATGTTGCCCAGTATTTCCCTTCGTTTCGCTCTCAAAGTAAAAACTCGAGTGATTGCCCACCGCAGCAACAACACGAGAAAACGGATCCGAAAAACAAAAACAAAAAAGATACCAAACTATGAGATGAGAAAAGAGTCGAGAATACGGATATAATATACCAATTAGCTCGCTAGAATACATACATACATACATACATACATACACATCCAGTACCTTTTTTTTCTTCCCCTTCCTACGTGACACTACCCTTTTTTTGCTCCAGCTCGACTCCTTCTCTGCTCCTACATGGCTATCGCATTTTCACTACACGCCACGCCACGCCATACCACGGCACCACTCTATCTCCCCTCTGCAGCCCCCTTCCTCTCCGCCTCCTCCATGCCCAACCAATCCAGCACCCCTTTCAACGCCGTAAACTCCACGAATCCGCCTTTGCGCCATGCAGGGCCGTGGATGCGTTTTCCCTCTTCCTCTTTGCTACGCGGACTAATCCCACTACCTCCTTTCGCACTACCACTACCACTCGTACTCGTGCTAGCACTCAGACCCCGCGGCCTCCCCCACCGACACCACACCCACCCCCTCGTCACGCGCCTCACTCTCACGCCTCTATCCTCCCACTCGCGCTCTTGATACTCGGGCTGCTGAATCGTGCTTGACGCTGTTTCCCAGCCTCCGCGACGATACGCCACCATGCCGTTTAGCAGCGTCATTTGCGTGAGGGGGATATCGTGTTCTGCTCTTTGTCTCTCTTTCTCCTTCTCCTTCTCATTCACCTTGGCACCCGTTGAAGATGATGCCACTCCAGTATCCCTATTACTGCTGCTGTTGTCGCTATCCTTGCTGTACGGACACGTCTCCTCCATCTCCCTCTGATTCGCACATTCCATGCGCTCACGGTCAAACCTGTCTTCCTTGAACAGCGGCTCTACGTGGTACACCGTGTGCGGATCCAGGCGCATGTGCAGACTTAGCAGTGCGGCGGTGGTGACGAGGTTTTGTAGCGAGGGGATGAGGTGCGGGAGGAGAGTGCTGGTGTGGGCGGGGGGATGCGTCAGGGAGAGGAGGGGGACGAGGTGTGTTGAGAGGGCGGCTACGATGGTGGTGATGTGGCTGTGGAAGTTTGATGGGAGGGTAAGTGGAGAGGGTGTGCTTGGATTGGTGGTGCTGGTGGAGGGTGTGAGGAAGGAGTGCATGGTTTGCGCCGTGTGCGTTGTACGTGAGAAACCTGATGTCTTGTTAGCCATGTCCATGCCTATTATCAGTACTGTTCCTGACACCGATACGAAACGGCTACAACAAAAGGAACCCCCAGATCTGCAAGGGAAAAAAAACATACCATCCTCATCCCGCAGCACCTTCTCCCCCTCCCTCACAACCCCCACCTCTTCCGCACTCCCCCCAAAAAACACATGCCCCAACACCTGCTCCACCAGCACATTCCCCAGGATCCCACAAACCAGCATCTTGCGCTTCTCCGCATCCACAAAGAACGCATGCCACCCGCTTTCTCCCGCCGGGCCGCCCGACGCAATGCAGTGAATGATTTTGACGGTTTCCCGCGCGAGAGAAGCGTAAAAGGACGACGGGAGCGATATATCTTCAATAACATCCGTCATTCCCGTCTTGCTGTTGCAAGTCGATATCGGAGTCGAAGTCACAAGCTCCCTCCGCACTTGTCCGCTGAAAAAACGAGTGCTGAATGCGTGCATTTGCGTCCTGAGTGCGAGCATGCCAGCTTGGATTTCAGCGTCTCGAAGTGCGTACTCCGGGTCTTGCAGCTCGTTGCAAATGGCGGTTTTGGAACCCAGTTCGCGCGCGCGGAGGGATGGGTTCGTACGCCATTTTTCGGTGGGCGACAGCGTGGACCAGGGGGCGGTATTGGTGTTGGTTTTAGATTGTGGTGCTGATCTTGCTTCTGGTTTTTCTGGCTCTGGCTCTGGAGCTGTGTGGGTGGTGCTGATCACGTCGTCTTCATCTCCAGTGTAGTCGTCCTCATCATATTCAGTGTACTCCTCATCGTCGTCGTCCATCGCAAGCGTATCCACCGCCTCCCCAGTGTCCTCAAAATCCAAAGAATCAAGTGCCTGTGGTGGCGGTGACGGTGGCTGCGAGTCTCCCACTAGCTGCTGTCTGGCCTGTATGTCATATGCCCTTTCCATCATGACTTTTGCCTTTGCTCGTAGCAGCTTGGCTGCACGTTTTGCCTCTGGGCTGCCGAATTGGACGTCGGCCGACTCGGTAATTTCACCGCGGTGTATGATCCTCATACCCCTTGGTGTCGCCTGTATAATTGGAGACTGAGATCCGATGCTGGAATCGCTCATGCTCAGGCCGTCGTCGTCTGTTTCCGTCTCGGTGGTGGTAACAGTCGGTGTGCTGCTGCCCCTGTACTCTGTATTCTGGTCTTCGTACGTTGTATGGAGAGTACTGCCCCGTCGGCTTTGGTCAGTTTGGAGATTCTGGATGCCGTGGGATGTGGACGGTGAAGCTTGTGCCGGCGAGCTGAATGGCCACACGTTTGTGAGAAAGCCGCTCATGGTGTGACAATACCGAAGAGCGTGAGAGTGGGATTGCAAGAGTGAAACTCCAGATTTAGATGTAAATGAGAGGTTAGATGTAGATGAGAGTAATTTTAACTTGAGCACAGTTCATTTGCGCGAGGCAAACCGCAGTGTCTCACTAATGGCTCTTGTATGTCCATTGTAACCGCTTTGTCTTCCTATACAGCCGCATGCGGGCGCCCATGCATGTCTGCATCCGGAATGCTGTTGCTTGTCAAGCAGAAACAAAGAGACAATGTGCAGTGCCATGTATGCAAGAATGGTTTGATCAAGCCCGACGCCGTGGTAATTAATGCTAGCAATCAGCAAATTGACCGAGAATGAACATCTTCTATACCCTACGCCATTAAAACCTACACAAACCATGTCTTTTTTTGATGGACTCCTATGCTATGCTATGCTGACTAGAGAATCTGTAATGGAACAAGACAAAAGAAAACGCTAAACAATGATACAAAGAAATTTTAATTGCGTTCGTAGACACTACTGTGTCCAGTTTCTGTAGAGACATGCACATAGCGTGCTTGCGTCCTGACCCTTGATGTCCACGCTGCCGCCTGATGACTTCTTGCAGGCTGGCACACCCTGGCCACCAGCCACATTTTGCTCAATGCGTACGGCTAGACTTTGTTAGCATCGGATACATGCAGCTACAGTCGAATGACTTACCAAACGGCCACTCAGGGTTCGCCGTATTTTTTACAGCAATGGTGTCGTCGGGATAGGTACGGGCCATCTTGGTGTACAGAGCCCCCTGTATGTTCGTTGCGTCGTAGTCACATTCAAAATCGCCCTTGGTTCCCCCAAGAGTGCCAGTCATGTTGACCGTCTTTGACCGGGAAATCTGGAACTTGAGGCGCTCCGTGCCCAAGCCGGCATCCAACAGCTGAAGAGGCTCGTTTTGGAACATGGTATCGAATATTGTGTCTTCTCCTTGGGATGAAATCTTGTACGAGCCTGAGGTGCCAGTGACTTGCCAGTTGAAAACGGTAAGGGCTTTTTGCGGATCCGAGTAGTAGTTGGTGTTGGGCGCGCATGTCCAGGTGTCTGCGTTGGAAGTGCAGTCGGGTGTGGTGGTATCGAGGAAAACAACAAAGGAAAAGGTCCCAACCGGGAAGTTGGGAGGGAGAGTCGGTTTGGCAGTAGCAGTAGTCGTGCGAGAGGGTGCGTTGCTGGCTGTGGCGGAGGAGCCATGGTGATTATTTTGGTTGTTGCTGTTGTCCTCTGTCGCTGATTGAGATCCATCTGCGGATGCGCTACTGGCCGCCGTTAGTAAGCGTTCGTTTGAAGGCAAAACGGCATGACGTACTGGTGGTGCTTTTTCAAGCCCACGGATAAGCCGACTGCCAAGCCGATGATCAAGGCTACCAGAATGGCAATGACCAGAGCCGTCTTCTTCCAGCCCCAGCCAAAGATGCCCTTTCTCCTCTTTTGCCTTACATGGCCAAACTTCTCGTCGTCCTTGTCGCTCCAGACGCTAACGCTGAGGTTGCTGTTGTTGTTCCCACAGCAGTCGTTGGGGGTGCTTGACTTGCCACCGGTAAAGGCGGCAAAGATGCCACCCGACTTCCTCTCGTTCCTCTGGGTATGCTGTACCGGGCCCACGTGCTGGTGCGAGGGGTCGTTGCAGAATGTGCTCTCGGTGGTGACGTTGATGCGGGCGGTGCTGTCTTGACTGGTTGGCGAGTTGGCCCGTTGGTTTTCTAGAATGATGGAGAGACGCTGGCCGGCAGGGGTGGAGATGCGCTTTGCTGGCCGGTCATCCTGGATGGGGTAGTGTGAGCGAGAGCGAGAGGGGCGGAAGAAGTTCATGGCACCGGCATCGATGGAGGAGTCGCGAGCCGACGTGGCCGTGGGACGGAGGCCGGGCTGGGTGTGGTGGTGATGTGTCTTGCTGGGCGCGAGGGTCCGGCGTTGTGGTTACCCCTTGGTTTAATTGCCGCTATACCACCGTATATATAACCCGGGGGGCATACGAGGGCGGATGACGAGCGGGAAGAGCGAGGAAAGATGGGAGGAAGAGATCAGGAAGCTTTCGGGTGCCTCGGCTGAGGCCTTGGAGGCACGCGAAAGCTTATACGGCACGATGCGAATGGACCTGTTGTCCAAGGGGACTGGAAACGGATGAGCCCTGCGGTCTATCACGCGCTAGGGACCGTTGCAGTATCGAGGCAAGCCATGTCGGGTTAAGCCCTCAGCCATGGCGTGTTTATCCTTCACGGCATGTGCGTGGTGGATCTGCACCACGCTGCTTGGGGAGCGCGTGCCTGTGCCGGGCGTGATATTGAAGTTTTGCACACGCCGGCTGCCTGTGCTTACCTACTTGGCTCTGCTTGCTAGCACGGCGGGCGCAAACTCTGCGGAGAGACAGCGTAGACGGACGACAGACCGGGCACTGCAGCTAATGAGGACGCGTCGATCGCGGGGGACAATTATAGCCATGGCAGCCGTGGACGTGGTGTAGGTGTTTCGCATATGCTCGGCTACGGGGGCCGATATTGCAAAAGGGGTTCGCGAGTCGCTAAATCCCGCGTTCCTGCATTGGGCTGCCTGCCAAGCCCGCGACTCTCACCTCGACCTTCACTGTCGCCGTCGCTCAGCCTTCACCACGCGTCGCTGCATATATTGTTAATTACTACTACTACCACCACTACTTGCACCAGCCGGTGGCGCTCGTCTCACGATGAAGACGCGCCGTTTCACGTGTGCCCAGCACCCCGCGCCTGCAAACGCGCCTGCCCGGCCACGCGCGCGCGCCTGCCGTATTGTCGTAACGCTTGCAACTAGACAGTCGTGCCTGCCCGCCGCTGCCCCTCCAGCGGCAATCTCCGGCCTCGCCGTCCAGCCTCGCCCTTCTGGCCTCCACGCTGGCCTTCTCACCTTCAACAGCCTATTCCCTTCACTCAACCACCGCCAGCATGGCACCTGGCCGCGTTACCGTACGTCTGAACCCCGGCTGTTCTGACGGTGATCCATTGCACGTCCCCCCGCCAGGTGCCTACACCCACGTCAGCCCGCCCACGCTATACCTGGAGAAGATAGCGCAGGCATGGATGGAGCAACGTGGAGAGGCGCATCCGGGCGTGCAATATATTCTCGAAGCTCTCCCTGCAGGCTACACCATGTGGCATAGGCCCCGCCCATCTGACCCCAAGTGTGTCGACAAGTATCTGTTTGGACATCCCAGCCACAAGCGCTTCGACTCACCCAACAGGTTTTTTCCGCACTTCCACTACTTGATGAACAACGCCGGCAACAGCATAGGATGTCCCTGCACCGTCTGCCGAGGTAACTCGGGGCTCCTTCCTCGCGCTTCGCCCAACAGCTCTTGCGTCCGAAGCTCTGGTACGGCCTCGAGACGTTCATCCACCGCGTCCGCACCTCTCCCACGTCGCCCTAACAGTGACCATCGTGCACAGCTAGCCCCGGCCGTACCTGTACGTCCCATGGCCCAGGGACGACCGAAGAAGCTCAGCCCAGGCTTAGATATTGGCAATGTCGATCAGGATGGGACACCTGATGTCTACCGAAACTTAATTGACAAGCTTCGGAGCCACAATTACGTTGATCAGGCGATCCAGGAGCCCTTGAGCCCCGACTGGCGAGCAGAGCAGGACAGCCTACCCAAGCTACTCCACACGCTCAAATCTCAAGACCAATGGGTTCCGCGAAACGGTGACATTGTCTTGTTCGTTCGCAACTTGCCAGATGGACTCACCCTAGCTCGAAATGATGTCACCGACGAGGTGCAGTTGTATGATGCGCACAATAACAGGTTTCTCCATACTCCACAGTGGGAGGCTGGTCTAGTCACACAGGCCGCTCCAGGACCAGCAATTACTGACATCTCAGAGCCAAACACGAATCTAAGTGTGTCACGCTCTGGTCTGAAAGTGGAGCCGGTCCCTAACCCAAACAACCCCGACAAAACCTTGTCGAAGCGATACAAGCATGTCTCGTTGCGACAAGCCCGCCCTTTCTTCCTATGGCAAGAGCTACTACATAGTGACCAAGACCAATGGCATCCAAGCATCAAGAACGCTCTTGCGCTGACCTCGACCCTTTCGCTCATGGGCAAGCATCGCTTCCGAGGCACATGGCCCAATGCGACCATATACTGTCATGGCATCTTCATCGGGCCAGAGATGCTGGTAATTGGCGACACTGTCCGCCTTCTCCCAAGCACCAGGCTAGGCCAGGCCGTCTGTACCGACATTCTGAGTATCCGGTCTATTCGGCTGAAGTGGTCAAGCTTGGACAAGGCTTCGAACAACGATTACGACCAGGGACGTCCATACAATTCCGAGATCATGATATATGGTTCGGCTTATACCAGCGATGCCTCTAGGTCGAACCATCAATGGGCGTCCGATCAAGACGTCGAGTCTCCCAAGGCAGCTGACGGCTATGGGTCCTTCTATCCTCTTCATCCGCCAGACAAGGAGCTTGCTGTCCCATACGCTCGCGTCGTAGGCCGCTTGTATGAGCGCAGTGCCATGGAGCACTTTCTCGGCCCCGGTTCTGACGATCTTCTGAACCTTGATCTTGGTCGAGAAGCTTTGATCGAGGCGCGCGCCTTTTCACGGAAGAACGATGAACGTATCGCACAATCTCCCAATGCCACCTGGTACTGGGGAGACAACCGGGCTGACGCACTGAGCCTCCGCACCCTCAACGGCCTCGACGTTTCCAAATTCGACCCCGAGCGTGATGTCAAAACACTTCGCAAGCAATACCGGATTATCGATGGTGCAGACGATGGTGCACAGGATGGAGATTCAAAGGCTGCCTTGGACAACGCATCCTGTGGAAGAGGACTGCGCCGCTTCATGGCCCCCGCACTGCCAGCCCAGACAACCACGCATACATCAAGCGCCAAACAAGATTCCAGTTCTGCTTCTATACCTAGTGATGATGGCCCCCTAATCACAAGTAAGAAGAGGCCTTACGTTATTGACCTGGACGGCGACGGATCTGACGACGAGATCCGGCAGCATACTCGAATCGTCGATGACCGAGATCTCCCAAAGAAGAAGGCAAAAGTATTTGTCGTCATTGACTGAGATAAACACTATTACAAACATCATCCCAAAGCGGAACATCCAACTTCAGCTACCCAAAATGTACTATTGCCAAAATAATATCGGGCGCCCAAGTGCCGAAAAAAGAGGGCACGTCTTCAAAGAAAGATTGTGCGTCGGAAAAGTTACTTACTGTTGATACATATCGATTCAGTGCGATATGGACAGCACACAGCATAGTCTCGAGGGGGGTTACTTTCAAAAAAAAAGGGGGGGGACATTTGTCAAGGTGCAATGCATGTAGCGAGGACACTTGATCATCTGTCAGTGGTGCATAGCACAACCGTCAAACATGGAGATAGACTAAACCCCCTAACCCCCCTTCAAAAAAATCATAATCAAAATGCTCTTGCCAGTCTTGAATTGCATCCATGGTGACTACTACCTCCGACTCGTTGTAAGTAAGCGTCGAGTCTCACGCCATTCATGGTGCTGTTTGTTTCTCGTCAAGTGCATAGCTAACATTCCCATCCATGTGCAGTAAGTAAGTAGTAACATGTATCAATTTCTCAGCTTTCTCCTATGAGTATGAAATGTAATGCAATGTAGATGTGTATGTTAGATGTGGGTGTGATGTACTCCATTCCGCCCCACTCCGCCCCACTCCCGCCCCGGCCCGCCCTCCAATCCATCCATCCATCCATCCATCCATCTATTTGTCTATTTATCTATTTATCTGCTGCACCGACTGTAAATTCCAGTTTCTCGCATGTATCTCCAGACGCAAAAAAAGGGAGAAGAAAAGAAGAAGAGTTATCCAAGTCTATCCCATAAGAAAAAGAGAGCCCCCCCCCAAAAAAAACAACAACATTGAAAAGGAAAAAGTGGTAGGGAAGAGTGTATAACTCGTCTTGCATCAACAGCAGGTCATGCGTTCAGATTCTTTCTTTGTTTCTTTGTTTCTTGTTTTGATTGGACGTGTGTGTGTGTGTGTTCATCAAGGGCATACTCTTTCGTTGTGTTGTTCGTAGCTCTACTCTCCTTTCTCTTCCTCTCGCTATCCATCCATCCATCCATCTATCTATCCATCCAAGAGAGCGTGTAATAGGGAAGAACCAATGAAAACTCAAACGCCAATGTCATGCAGTCTATCGTGATGTGTGTGTGCGCCGTAAGAAGAACTCCCGCTGCTAAAGAGATTTGAAGAGAGAAAAAAAAACGAAACGAAACGAAACGAGAGGAAACGCTCAACTCATCCCTCACCCAGCGATGGCGGGGAGGGGAATAAGAAAAAAATCTGTGTGTGTATATGGCTAAAGATAATTTCGGGGGGAGAGTCATATAGTGACGTCGTGGTCGTCGTCAAGCGTGTGTAAACCAAAAAAGAAAGTGGCTAACAAAAAACAATCATGATTTTGACTCAGCGAGCGCTTCGCCTAGCGCATCGGCATCGTAGTCTCGCACCACGACATTTGTAGGTGTAGCGGGTACGTCGTCAAAGACTCCCCAGATGGGGCCGTCCTGGTTGACACCGCTAGGCCTGGCCTTGGCCTTGTCTTTGTCGGAGCTCTTTATGGAGCTCTCGGATGCTGTAGTCTCGACGCTTGCCTGCGTTTGTTGGCTCCTAGTCGAAGGGGGGCGAGTAGCGGTGTCGGACGGGGGGGCCGGGGTAGCGCCCCATCTTCCAAAGACCCAGCCTCCTACTTTCTTGGTGAGACCAGGGCCGCTAGAGGGTTGAGGGCCGTCACTTTTGCGGGGTCCTCGTTTCTGGTTGGCAATGCTCGAGTAGAGCATGGATCGACTGAGCACGCTGCTATCAGACGGCTTGCTCGATAGCGTGCCGTAAGCGGTGGCGTTCCATGCCAACTCTGGTCCAACAGACCCAGCATTACGAATATCGGTAAAATGTGTTGGCGTAGAGTACATGAGCTGGGAGGGTCGTGATCGAAGCGTGTGGATGTCCATGCCGGAAATCGAGATGAGCGAGTCGTGGGAAGCGTGGCGGTGCAGCGAAGGACGCATAGCAGTCAGGGGCGACACGAGCTCACCAGGCGCAAACTCTGCAGAGTTGGCGAGAGATGGCTCGGCAGTCGACAGCGAAGAATCCTCGCACTCCTCGGGTATCGCAGCTTGAGGCTCTGCCTGCATGGCGGGCGAGAGGGTGAAGCTTTCATTGAAAGAGTTGGCAGGGCTGACAGCCGACACGATAGCACTGGCAGGGCTGCTCTTGGTAGTGAAGGCAATCGGAGTGCTGGAACTGCGCATGGTTGAAAGGCTTGGTGGCATGAGACCGCGAGACTTGCGGCGCGAGTGCCTTACACCAGTCTTGCCTGCCTCGAGCGGCCCCGAGCGTCTCCTCCGCACAGTTGGGGTAGCCTCATGATCCGAGCTGTAGTCATTCGATTTGCAGGGGCCAAGCATCGGCGAGAGGATATCGAGCGAGTCCGGTGGACTTGTCGGGCGCGAAGAGTCGTAAGCCTCACTAAAGACGCGATCGTACATGGATCCGCGGTGTGAGTCAGACACGGGCGAGCCCGAGAAGGAGCCAGGGCCAAGGGTTGAGGCCTGAGACCATCGGTGCGAGTTTGGCACTGAAACAGCAGTCTGGTTCAGTATGGTGGCTGTAGAGGAGCGTTCCAGCGTGGGAGGCGGGTCAAAGTGAGTGGGTGTCAGCGTGAATCGCTTCTTCTTGGGTCGGCCGCGAGCAGGTCCCTTGGACACATTCCTCGACGTCTTGGGGGCGTGGAAGTGGTGGTGGATATGCAGTTCTTGGTTCAGTGATTCGTGTTCCATTTCGAGTTCTTTCTGTAGCGTTGGACTGGTAACGCCTTCCGAGTGCGATGCTGACATGGGCTGATGTTCCCTGAGCTGTTCCCGTAGACGTTCCACTTCTTCATTCGAGTTGCCGAGCATTTCGCGCAGTTCCATGATACCGTGTTGCAGATTGGCATTGTCGAGGAGAATATCCTTGACAAAGTGAGAGACAACCGTAGTGCCGTTTTTGTCGTGTCCAGCCTTGGCCTTGAGTCGGCTTGCAGCAGTGTTGAGTTCATTTTCGACAGCCATGCGGCGCTCCATGCGGGCAACGACCTCGTGGTGTCGCTGGCGCTCAGCTCGGGATTCTTTCTCGATACGGTCAATCTGGTCCTGGAGGTCGCCAATGGTGCGCTCTGCCGCCTTCCATCGCTGGATGGCGGTGCGCTCGTCGACGAGTTTGGCGTCAAGGTTGCGTTGGAGCTGTGATTGCTCTCGCTCCAGGTCGATCAGTTGCTTTTCCAGTAGTTGTGTGCGTGCGGCGAGGGTGCCCAGACGGCCGATTTCTTCCTCGGCCGAGCGCAGCGTGTCCTCGAGGGCCTTGATGTGGGCATCCGACTCGGCGACGGTGTTGTTCAGCTGCTCGAGTTGGTCCAGAAGTTCGCGGTTGGTCCTGATGGAGCGGGCGTTCTGATCCTCGAGCTCCCGCTTTTCCCGCTCCAGGCTCTCGATGGTAGCGAGCATTTCTTTTCGCTCGCGCTCCGAGTCGGCGACATAGGCCTCATGGCGGACGAGGAGAGCCTACAAGTCACATGTCAGCGGCAGGGCTAGCGGGTGCGGGTGCAAACATACTTGGCCGAGCTGGGCGGCCTTTGAGACGTCTCGCTCGAGGCCTTCGAGGAGCCGCCCATTGTGAGCCAGGAAAGCGCAGTCATGGCTTCCACAGCAGCACCGGGGCGGCCCCAGAGTGGCCCCAAGGCCGGCCGCGTCCATGTGTACGACCCCTCCTCGCTCGCGTACTGGACCGGACGTGGGCTGGCGGGCAGTGGCTGGGGTGGGTTGGAAGATGGGCGTCGACAGGCGATGTCAGCGCCGCTCCTGCTCCCGGGGGATTATATGTGCGGGCGGGCAGGCGAGGGCGGGCTAAGGGGAAGGAAGAAGGCAGGGAAGGAAAAAGCAAGGCGTCTGGGTAAAAGTCTGGGACGGGACTGGAGAGGCACGGCGCGCGTCGAGATATTGTGTTCCGTTCCTGGCTGTCGGATTAGGGCGACTGACTCCCCACTAGTCCAGGTGTCCCTGCCAGCACAGCATTCCCCGCCCAAGGCCAGCCACCGCCTTTTGGCCCTGTCCCGCCCTGCTTAGGCTGCCTGTGTGCTTGCTGAGCGAGGCGGGCCTCTCTGCTCGACCGCGCCCGCAGCCCGCAGCTCCAGACGCTCCCGCTGCATCGTGCGTTCGCGCCCCTCCGTGAAACATGACGGCCGTCATCCTCACAGACGCCCCCCCCCAGCCCGCCGACGTCAATAGCGCTGCTTATTAGGCCGTGCCCAATTGGACATCCCGGTACAAACTCTGAGATTACGCTCGCCAATGCCAATGCCCGCTGCTCGCACAATCCGGCCCAAAACAAACATTCCCCCCTCTTGGCGCCGCCCTCAGCAAAACATGCCCGCAAACGACGACAGAGATAGACGGCAGCGGGCACGCAGAAACAGGAGATGGGCAGGATAAAGGGGGGCGGTGTGGTGGAGGCGGCTTGAATGTGAACAGAGCCTTCGTTTCTTCTTCTTCTTTTTGTTCGTCTGACCGCAGTCAACATCACGTGACCCAGGAGCATGGCCTTCCAGCGGCTCTCGCAGGCACGCGGCAAAGGCAGACCTTCTTCGCCTCGGTTTGGACTGTTTCAGTATCGGCGGGAAAGAGCGGCGTCTGCTGTCTTCCACGCGCGAGCCTTCCACCACTCTGCCGCATCAGCCAATGACGCACACACGAAGCCTTCACCGCCATCGCCGAAGCCACGACGCCTGCCTGAGAACCCCTCTCTCCCGTCGCCCAATCTGCTCCTTCTCCTTGGGGAAGCCCGTCCTGCCGTACGCTATACCGTGTATGCTGGCCTCGTGCTGGTGGCAGTCGTCGAGGCCACATTCTGGGCCAATGTGCTGCGAGCCAACTTCTTCCCTCAAGCATCAGAAGCAGACCGCCAGCGCGACGACGAACTACTAGACCGCCCCAAGAGCGCCATCACAGGCTACCGAAAAGTGTGGCTGAGCAACTACCAGAGATACTATGCAGCCGATATCTGGGGGCTGGGCTACGGAGGGCTGGACAGTCTAGAAGACGATAGCACTTGATAGCTGCTCAGCTTAATGCACCAGCTAGAAAAGGAAGTCCATCACACCGAAAGACCGACATGGTGAATCATCTACTGCGTTTGCATGTTGAGACAGCCGTTGCCGTGCAAAGCGCTGGGATATCCCATGTGCGTTCCATGTCCATGTCCCTGCATACTCCTGCCCAACCTCAGACTCGAGGATACCTTTCTCACTACACTCTGCTCTCCAGCAGCCCCAAATGTCTCTGCGAACAACAACAGCAACAACAAGAAAAGCAATCAACACATGAAGACACAGGCGGCAGATGTGCCACGCAGCACGTCCCCGTTGTTTCACCTTGATCGCCTCCAGAGCCATACAAGCCGCCTCGTTTGTGCTCCGATTCGTCCAACCTCACCACGTGACTACTTACCGCATCGCGCCCAGCGGCCTTAGTGTATTCCTCGCACTCACTCGCACTCGCGTGCTGGCTGGCGGCGCCCCGCCGAGTATCCGTTTACAAAAAGGAAAACTGAAACAAAGTGCTGGCTGCGTCACCGCCCGCCCGCAACCGGCATGGTCTGCCGGCAGAATGCTCGACCTTCCCAACACACACTTGCATTGGTGAACCCCCCCAGTCGCCGTGGCACATGTGTTGGCCGCTGCCACCACTCGCTTCTGCCGGGCTAGCCGACACTGCCAGCGTAGCCGTTTCACGCACACGAGTCTAGACGGTGCATCTGCCGAACAACACGCTGAATGGCGTCAGGAAGCATGTCGTACTAGGTACAGTATGCAGGGTGCGAAGGCCCGTCCATGACGTGATGTTGAATCTCTTTTTTTTTCATTCATCGTCGTTTGATGTGCCGAGGCCAGAGGGTAGTTGTGAAAAGTACCTCTCTCTGCCCATGTCCCTTTCACATGTCCATGCTACCTACACTTACTCTTCAGGCTCAACATTGACATCAACGCCGTACTCCTCAGCAATCCACGCACAAAACTTCTCCCATCTGCTGACCCACTCCTTGAGCCTCTGGGCCCGGAGCCCCTTGCCAAACATGCCGTCCTTGATGTCCTGCGTCCACTCCTTTGCGCTGTGGTCCTCGTGACACGCCCACCGCACACTGTTCTCGGCCAGCGACCCCAGCCCCTCCAGCCCCAGGTTCTCCCAGCCCTGCAGCGCCTGCCAGAAATCATGCGACATGCCAGATACGTCCTGCCCGAGGATCGTCGGGTCGTCGTTGCACAGCGAGCAGGGCACCCCGCGCGCGAGAAGCGCCGGCAGCGGATGCGCCATGATGCTGCCGCAGAGGCGGAGGACTTCATTTGATACCGGGCAGCTCTCCACCAGGATGCGTTTTTCCTTGACCATGTCGATCAGCAGCGGGTGCTTGTACAGGCTGAAGCCGTGGCCGATGCGCCGCGTGCCCAGCACAATGGCGTCAAAGAGGTTCTCATCAACCGAGTCGCCGTCGCCCAGCGTCTCGCCCGCGTGGAAGAAGAACGGTATGTCGACGCCTTCTTGCGCGCATGCCTTGCGGAACCAGAAGAGCTCGGGCGCGAGGTCTGCGAGCGGCCGCCCGAGATCCTCTTGGCCCACGAGATCATAGCCGGCAATGATTTCTGGGAATTCAATCTTCATTTCTATGCATTTCTTCATGCCTGGTGCGTGTTAGTCATCGTGTGGATTCTTGCTGTGTTATTCAGGTAAACGCAACATCACCTACTCTCAATGACTGCCTTCGTGCCAAATTGCCGGACCGTGGTCCAGATCATGCGGGCGCCCCAGAACTCTTTGCCTTCTTCGCTTGCCTTGAACTTTTCAATTTCGTCGGCCATGTGCTCCAGCATGTAGAACCAGTCTTCGTCCCACTGCTCTTTTCCGACGCTGCGGTACGGTGTGTAAAAGGCCGAGCGCAAGTCTACGTAATAGACCCCGTCGTCGAGCAGCTGCTTGAGCATTCGGCGGATGAATTTGCGGTAGATGGGCTCGTAGTAGATCAGTGAGCCGAGAATGGGGAAGCACGACATGAACTTGCGCCATACTTCGTTGGGGCCTTCGTGGTGCGAGAGGTGCTCAGAAGAGGTAATCGTGACGCGAGAGCGGATCCACTCAATGAAAGATTTCCTGCCTCCGTCTGGAAAGCTGTCTGCCACGTGGTTGATGGGCACTGGCGTGTTGGCCGTGTAGTCCGCCTTCCAGATGGACGTATCGGTTTTGGCATCTTTTGCGTATGTGAATGAGAAGCCCGTCTTCCGCCTTGTGTGGCTGTCGGTGATGGCACTTTGCGCGACCAAGCAGACTCCCTCAGTGTTGAAGGCTTCTTCAAGCGCCCAGTCGAGATCAACCATGGCTTCGAGGTGACAGTGCAGTAGCGCACCCTTTGGCATCTTCTTTACTATCTGCCAGAGCTTGCTCTTCTCCATGCGCTCCTTGGCGAGCGAGAACATCATGCCCGGAAACACATCGACGTGGTCGGTCAACAGGCTGTCTTCGTATTCCTTGGTCCACAGCGTTTGCTGCTCCTCAAACCGGATCTGGGACACGATGGCGCATGCTTCCTGGGCCATGGGCGAGAGATTCTGGCGAAAGAGATAGTCTGGGAGTTGTCAGGCCCATGGTCCTGCAGCGTGAGGATGACGGTCTTGGTCCACAAACCACTTCGCTGCCTCTTCTCTTGCTGCACGAGCGCATCTCTGCCCTGGAGATACTGCTGGATGAACGGGTCGCTTAGGCTCGGTACACCTTCCGCCTGCGCCCACTCGTCGTCGTTTGCCGGCGCGTCTTTGGCCATTTTTGGAGCCCGTAAGAATATTGCAGGTCCCAAAGTGAGCAGAGCGCGCCAGGAAAATTTGGAGAGAAGATATGCCTTGACATGGCTGCCTCGGTGACCTCCGCTACTTCCTTCCCGAACCGCGCTAGTGCGTGCTGACGTAAGGAGTGCCGGTCCTATCCCCGTAACGGGCGCGCCTCCACCGAACAACTGGCACGGCGGGCGCCCCAGAGCAGATGCGGGTGAGACGAGACGGGCCAGCAACTCTGCATCCCGCTTGCAAGCCACCTGCGTCGACGCCCACGAGCGCAGGCACAGAGGGCTCGCCGTGCTGTCAATCGCACGCGTTGTCACGCGTTGGGGTGCTTATCGATTGCCTAGTGCGGCGCTGGATGCACGCGCGGGGCGCTGCAGTGCGAATGATGCTGTGCACGGCCGCCTACCATCTCGTAGCGCATCATCTGCATCCATATGCACCTGAACCTGGACGCCAAACCTCCGGACCTCATCTTGTGACTCCCCGGCACGCGCTAACCACCTTTACACGCCCGGGCAGCCTGCATTCTCACTATACGGCACTAATCTTTTTCTGCGTCTTCACACAGCTACTCTGCACCTCCCGACGCCAAAGGTACCACGGCCTGGAAAGCACAGAGACTTGGCAGGCACAACTCAGCGCAGCCGTGCGGACAGAGGGAGGCAAGGCGACGGGCGCTCCACATTCTCTGCTCGGGCTCTCCAGTACCGCCGTCGACCACTTATGGAGGCCCTTCGCTCCCAGCGATAGGCGCTCGGGGTGCCTCCAGTCCACAAGTCCGGCAACTCCACCGCCAGCCTCCCCCAAACCATGGCCTTCTTCTCCGGACTCTCGAGCTCTATCGGCCGGAAGCTTCTCCTCTACGGCCTGCGACAAATCGACATCCTCGACAAGGATCCCGCCGACTTTGTGAGCGTTGACGTGGGGAAGCGCACGACGCTCGAGGTCCGTGATGTCGGGCTGCATATCAAGGTGCGCGGCGAAGGCCTGAGTATCCATCCTCCGCTATGCTAATAGCATCCGTAGAAACTCATAGCACTATTGCACCTCAAGCTCCCCCAAGAAATTCATCTGTCACAGGCGCGAGCCTCCCTACTCCGCGTGACCTTCGTCCTCGACTTCGGCGTACCCCAGATCTCGATCGAGGTGGATGGCATACAAATACAAGCTAGATTGGTCGAGGACGATGGAGAGGCTGCAGCGTCTCGCTCCGCCCTACAGCCGGCTCCATCACAGCCCTCGCCACCCCGTCGACTCGCGTCGCCCCCACCCAGCCGAGATGATCTGAGCGACCCTGGCTCCGACGACGACGATGAGCATGTGCCAACGGTGGACGAGCTCGCCAGGTCGTTCATGCGGACGGAGCCTGCAGACGAGATACGCGAGCTGCAAGAAGAGCTGGCATCTCAGTCACCATATATGCAAGAGTCGATGGCCTCGAGTGATGATGGCGAGGATGGCGCTGCGGGTATGGGGGCTCCACTGGCACTTCCGGTATATCTGCGAAACATTCTCAACACCGCCCTGGATCGCCTCACCATCACAGTGAAGGATATCAATGTCGAAGTGGAGGACCAAACTTCAGCCGATGGCCCAGATTCATCGAGGACGACCCAAAGCTCACCCACCTCGCTCAGCTTCCATGTAGAACGGATTGCCCTTGACTCGATAACCTCCAAGGATGTGCGTGTAGATGTGAGCTCACCAACGCCAGTCGATGCAGCGAAGCTAGGTAAGAGGAGAATGAAAGTGGAAAACATCTGCGCACGTCTTGTGTCTGATGTCGAAAACTTTGTCTCTTTATCGAGGTTTTCGCAGCCGCCTTCGCCAGTCATGACTCGATCAGAAGTTTCAACTAGCCAAAAGGCCACAAGCGAACCGTCGGCAAGTCATATGTCAAGCCATTCTATACGTGAAGAAGAGATAGAACCATCAGAACCCGCTCCTCCAGAGCCATCAGAACTACCCGAACTACCAAAATCACCAGAACCACAGGAACTGCCAGAAGCACCGGTTGTTGAAAGGCTGCCTAGCCCAATCAACTCGCCCCCGCAAGCACCCGCGAGTCCGCGCGAAGGATTTGTTTCGCCACTCTCACCCCCATCGCCTGAGCAGCACCTGCTAGAGCAGCACCCGCTAGACCTATCTGTGCATACTGTAGACGATGATCGGTTTGCAGACGCGACCTCGGACGATGGACCAGATGATCGCTCGGTAGATGGCTCACTTGGTCATTCTCGCCAATTTCTACCCACTCATGATCTAGGTGGGAGCAACATGTTCTATGATGAAGAAGGCTTGATTGATTATGCAATACAAAATAACATGCTCGACTCCCGGTTCGGAGATCTGCCTATGATCGAACCCACAGAAGAAGGTCCGGATACCTGGGGGCTGCATGGTGCTACTTCAAGTCAACACACTCGAACATCGGAACCCGCTAGTGAAGCCTCAACCTCGGATCTTCCCACTGTGTCCGCCTTGGGACGCTCGTTTCATCCTCCAAGCGCCACTGCTTCGCCGTCCGAATCAAGACACTCTGAGAGAAGCCAGGGCCTTGCTGACAGTCTAGGTGCAGCGCATCAGCACCCGGTTGAGAATGTAGCAAGCCCCGCCAATAGCACACATCAACTTCCGGAATCACCACCCCCAGAGGAAGATTTGTCCGAATCAAAGTTTTTCACTCATGATGAGGCGGAGAGCATGTACATGAGCGCCATAAGTGGGGCGCAAGGCAGCTCCATGCAGGCAGGGCATATTCCTGGGGGTTGGGCTTCCTCTTCAGGTTCAAGCAGAGACTCTACTTCAGACAAATCCGAGCCGATACCCGAAGAAGTGATTTCTGCTAGCATCTTAGCACCAGCACCAGCACCAGCACCAGCACCAGCACCAGCACCAGCACCAGCACCAATGCCAGTACTAGCATCAGCACCAGCATCAGCACCAGTAACAGAGGTTGAAGATGGCTACGATACCCCGCGCCCACAAAGCAGGCAGAGCTCAGTATCATCTTCGCAATCTGCACGCGCGCAAACCCCAACTCCGGCTCCACCAGCCTTTCAGAAACAAGCAAGGCGGCTGCTTACAATCGACGAGATTACCGTTTGGTTTCCCATGGGCCTTGATGATGGACAAAGCGAAGAGCAGGGTGATGGGGATGGCGATGAAGATGTTACCGGGGCCCCGGCCTTTGAGTTCAAGCAGCCTAATTTGGGAGAAGATTCGATATTTGCGGAGATGCCTGGGTCATTTTCCAACTACGCGTACTCTTCGTCGCACCGAAAGAAGCCATCCCTAGACGCATCCATTCGGGCACGAACTGCTTCAAAACCAGCACAAATACCCAGCCGTCCAAAACAGCCTAAGAAAGCAAATCAGCCCTCCATCACCGTTGAAGTAGGCTCAATAGCAGGGCATATGGATGTGTCTACCGGTCGCGTCATGTTTGGAATGTTCAATCGGATGATGCAAGCCCTCACTGGCGATTCGGGTCAACAAGAAGACAAATCGTCCGTACCAGAACCCACTGGAAACTCAAAGGAACCTTCTCCTGACTTTGACTTGACCGTCAAGCAAATTGCCTTCTCATGGCTAGAGAACATTGCGACTGAATCCATGCAAGAGGGATATGTTCCGAGCTGGCAACTTGAACCCAATCCGGTCGAGGCCATATTAAGAGTCAATCTTTCAAAGATTAGCATCAACCAACGGAGCGCCGTACAAGAGTCGCAGACTCAGATTCGCATTGGGAAGTTTGTCCTCGCATCCTTGGACCAGGACATCATCTCCTTCCAAGGTTCGCGGTCAAGATCCAAACGATTGAGTGGCACTTCGGCAGAACAACTTAGCAGTGATGTGGAAATTGACTACATGCGAGGGAAAGATGATCGCATTACAGTCGTAACGCGTCCTGTCAAAATTATGTTTGATGTGCAGAAGTTGGACGACGCGCTTGGCGCATTTGGTGGGTTCAGTGGCATGCTAGAATTGAGCAATTCTTTCAGCTCTGCTAGCACATTACAAAGTCCTGTCCTATCTCCATCGCGCCCTCGGCCCCGTGGTGTGCATTTTGGCAACGGGCTTGAGCCTCCAGCCAAAGCGTCCGTGTCGCCTGCCCCACCTACGCCGGCCGTCAAGAGCCCCAAGATCCAAGTACAGTTTGGCGAAGTTTCTTTCACTCTCAAAGGGAAAGCATGTTCTGTGAAGCTACAAACGACATCGGTTCGCATTGCTGTGCGCCAAAGCAATGTTCGCCTCAAAGTTTCGGAACTTCAGCTCATAGGGCCCTACATTGAAGGTGGCCAGGACAATCCGCCCTTCATCGCGGAATTGAAAGGAACCACGCTCAACTTTCTCTTTGCGCCTGAGGAGACAGACTTGACAAGGCTCATCTCCATGATAACGCCATCGAAGGATCCGTACGAAAACGACGACGATATCCTGATTGAGACCCTCCTGCGTCAACGGAGAAAGGGCTCTGTCCTGAGGGTTGAATTCGCTGAAATTAGAGTTCGCGTGTCTGACTTGCAGCAGATGAAGACGTTTGAAGCTCTTGGTGCAGAGTTGTCGCGATTATCGAAAGTAGCCAAGTACTTACCGGATGACGATCGACCTGGTTTGCTCAGTTTGGTGTCGGTCAGAACACTAGACGTTCGAGTAGTCGTAAACGAAAAGCTTGGAGATGTTTCAATCACCCTACAAGACTCGGCTGTGGCTCACGTAGGCGTTCCGGCTTTGCTGGCTACGGAAATCGGCAAGACAATTGTTTGTCGGGATGACGAGGTGCTTGTTCACGAGGTCGTAAAGTTGCGTCCATCAGAGCAGCTACCTGCGATCATGCTAAGGATGGTTGGCGATGAGATGGAGCCCGTGGCGAAAGCGAAATTTTTCAATATCTGCGTCGAATACCGAGTCACGACCGTCATGGCGGCACTGGGGATTTCGGAAGATGGAACCGTTGATGACATTGCTTTGGGCATTGCGTCAAGTGTCGCGACCATTACAGGTGCATCCTCGCCTCAGACACTTAGCCGGCAGTCTTCCGAAGTGAATTCGCCATCATTGCCAGCTGCTAAGCCGCTGCAGATCGATCTTCTAATGAGAAACTGCGCGATTGGACTGAATCCCCGGAAAACTTCATCGAAAGGGCTTTTTGTGCTCACAGAAGCGCACATTGCAGGCAAGCAGGCGAAAAACAACTACTCAATCACTGTAGAGCTCCGCAAAGCCTCTATGCATGCGATCGATGATGTAGCCCGCTTGGAAGATGAACGTCAGCCGCCGTCACCAAGTATGATGACGAATCGTCAACTCCATGAACTCGGCGAGCTGGGATATGTGTCCCTGAGTTCGATTTCGGCCGCCAAAGTGTACGTCAACATCGTAGATGACGGGCCAGACCAGCCACAGTTGGTGGAGATTGAATTCAAGAACGAACTTTTCGTCATAGAGTCGTGTGCAGACTCCACGCAGACCCTTATAGCTATCCTGAACGGACTCCAGCCGCCTTCACCACCCTCTACGGCAGAGCAGTACCGGACCGTTGTGCCTCTACAGCAGATGATGGAATCTTTCACTGGCGATGCTTTGATACAGGACGATGCAGAAGCTGATGATTTCATGAGCAACGCGGATCTTGTGGAAGACGATCTCCCAACTAACCTCGAATTTGTCGGAAGCATCTACAACTCCCAGTCTCTGCCAACCGAGGAAGAAATGGGCGACAGTCTGCTCGGTGAGGATGATCTAGGCATGCTGGCAACACCACCCGTCACTCGCCAACGTGGCGACCGAGCACTGCTAGAAAGTTTCCAAGAGAAATACGAGATTACACAGGGCGAGGAGGACTTTGACTTTAGCGAAGAGTATTTCAGGGACGCAGACGCGGTGCAAAAGGGCAAAGCGCGAAAGTGGGACTCCACCAAGAACCAGTACCATCTCTCGAACGAGTTCAAGGTTCCAGATGCACCGCTCAAGGTTCGCGTTCGCGATGTCAATGTAATCTGGAACCTCTTTGATGGGTACGACTGGCCACGAACGCGCAGCGTTATTAGCCAAGCCGTAGACGACGTCGAAGCTCGTGCCGAGGAGCGACGACGCAGAGCCAGGGAGGAAGATGAGGATGACGACTTTGTCGAAGAAGACTTCTTGTTCAACTCTGTATGGATCGGTGTCCCAGTCAAAGACGAGAAGGGTGCACTCGCTCGGCGTATCAATCACGACATCGATGACCTGGCTAGCGAGACGGGCAGCTATGCCACGACGGCAACGAGATCCACAGGAGCGACTAGTCGACCGCGCAGCACGACAAAGTCTAGACGTCGACTCAAGCTTGAGCGAAGCAAGCACAAGAAGGTTGCATTTTCCCTCATGGGTGTTGCAGTCGACCTCATTGTCTTCCCGCCGAACTCAGGAGAGACAATTAACTCCATCAACGTCCGCGTACAAGACCTCGAGGTTTTCGACCACGTTCCTACGTCAACATGGAAGAAGTTTGTCACTTGCGCCATTGATCCAAATATGCGGGAGCTCACTCGCCCAATGATCAACCTCGAACTCGTGACGGTCAAGCCAGTCACGGACTTGGCTGCATCCGAGCTCGTCATAAGGGTAAGTCCGAAATTATTTGGAATATGGCATGTACTAATTACAATGATAGGTCAGCGTACTGCCGCTTCGCCTGCATGTCGACCAAGATGCACTGGATTTCATCACCCGCTTCTTCGAGTTTAAAGATGACTCTGTGCCAGCTAGTCCTCCAGCTAGCGATCAGCCATTCATTCAACGTCTTGAAGTCATGGCAGTCCATATGAAGCTCGATTACAAGCCAAAGCGTGTCGACTATCGCGGTCTCCGTTCGGGCCACACGACCGAGTTCATGAACTTCTTGATCTTAGATGGCTCTGATATTGTCCTGCGGCACGCAATTGTTTATGGCATCACTTCTTTTGACAAGTTGCACAAGACACTAAACGATGTCTGGATGCCTGACGTCAAAGACAATCAGCTCCCGGGTGTTCTTTCTGGACTGGCGGCCGTGCGACCTCTCGTGAATGTCGGCTCCGGGCTCAAAGATCTTGTGGTTGTACCAATGCGCGAGTACAAGAAGGATGGGCGCATCGTTCGCAGTTTGCAAAAGGGCGTCTACGCTTTTGCCAAAAACACAACCTCTGAGGTAGCACGTTTGGGTGCCAAGGTCGCGATCGGCACCCAGAATCTGCTTGAAGGCGCAGAAGTCTTTCTCAATCCGCAAACCGCTACACCTAGTCGCCAGGCGCACGACTGGGATGGAGAGGACCCAAGTTCGGATTCTGAAGAGCCGCGCGCAGTATCGAATTACGCCAATCAACCGATCGGTGTGCGCGCCGGTCTACGGAGCGCGGCTCGACACCTTGAGCGTGACTTGCTGACTGCACGCGACGCGGTAATAGCCATACCTGCGGAGGTCATGGAAGAAGGCAGCGGCACGGGAGTAGCAAGAGCTCTTGCTAGACATGCACCTACTGTTGTACTACGGCCTGCACTCGGTGCGACAAAAGCGCTGAGCAACGCATTGCTCGGTGTAGGAAACGCACTCGATGCCAGTTCGAGACGCAAAATTGAAGACGTAAGTATCTCTGTGTCTTGCACATGATGATGAATACTAACAACTGGCAGAAATACAAATCATACTAGACCTTTGGCAGGAGCCAAATACCACCAACTTCGAACCATTGCGCGTTTCCTTCTTGATCATGTCAGTTATGGAGGTTTTTCCAATTTCGTGTTTTTTACTTGGGCTGTTAGATTGCGTGCATAGCGACGGACGACGGAGTTTTAGGCTGGCTGGCTGGATGGATGGAAGGGGCGTCCTTTCTTCAAATGCTGCTTTGACTTCTTTCTTGCTTTCTTTCTCTCCTTCTTTTCTTTCGTTTCACGTCTCCCACCGACATAGAAATAGTGGTTTTCAGTGGTTTTTTTGCATGTTTTCCTTTTGTGTGTTACTTGCCGGAGCTTTATTCATTCCTTTTTTTTTCTCTTTCTTCTTCTTCTCTCTTTCACTTCAAGATATCCCCCCCTCCCCCCTCTCTCTACCTCTGCCTCTTGTTATCTAACAACCCTCTAAACTGAAATAAATTTGTGTACGGGTACTTCTTTTTTATATTGGAATTATATGGCCCAGTTCCCCCTCCCTCTCCCTCTCCCTCCAAACGTTAATGATATGATACTATGATTCCGATGCCTTTGATGCGTGTTTCCGAATCATGTCTTGTGTGTTGTGTTGATGAAAGTCAATCCGCCTTTTCTTGTTGTTGTTTACAATGCCTATCTACTTAGCTAAATTAAAAAGTACAGCGTCCTACCAGGTTCATAAGTTTACCTTTTTTTTTTACCCTCCCGTTGACGACTGTTGATGGTATTGTTATCATGACTAACGTACATCCCTTACGGATTCTGGAAATGCATTAGACCCAAAGCTGTATTGTGGCCTCCCGTGCCTCACCAGTAGAGAAGCGCTGAGCCGATGACAATTTGGCGTTATCGATAAAGTGCGGCGCAGCACGATGAGCTGTTCAGCCTTGTTGCAGTCGTAATCCCTCAGCCTAACGCTCCCGCTTCAGCTCCTCCGCCTAGACAATGCAGTCTTCCTCTATTTCCGCCTCCTCTCTATACGCATCTGCCAGCTGTGTCGATTTCGCGACATGGATCTGCTTGGCGTTATAGCCAGCATCATCGTAGTTCTCCAGCTCTCGGGCAAGGTCCTTGAGTACCTAAACGATGTAAAAGATGCTCTGAAAGATCGCACGAAGTGTGCACTTGAACTGCTAAACCTTTGCAGCCTGCTTTACAAACTCCGCAATTATATTAAAATAGGAGCTCGTAGCTAGCTATAGTATACTACTATTAGAACACTAGTAGTCTAAGAGGGGCTACTTAACTAGTTTAAGCAGGCACTTAAAGCACTATAGACTAAGATTATAGACAGAGGCTGATTGAAGAAATTAGGTAAAGCGCTCGCGTGGAAGTTTAAGAAAGAGGAAATTACTAGTATATTTAATTAAATAGAGCGTTTAAAGTTACTTATAGAGATTGCGTTATAGATAGACTATTTATAAGCTTCCCTACTAGAAGGTAGAGCGATATTGCTTACATCCTAAAGCAAACTCTCCTAAGCCATTAAAGATAATACTAACTTCGTTTAGACGCACATACCTACTATCCTGTTAGGCGTAGACGAGATCTGGCAAGACTAAAACGCCGCGAAGCACCGCAGGATTCTCGAATAGATCTTTCCCACAGACTACCCCGCACAGCAATCTAACATTATAAATCGCAGATAGAAGGGAACAAGACAATAGTTTCTAAATGCGCCTCAAGTAGCCACATAGCTTAGTAAACACTAAGCAACACTCTTCTACCTAAGTATCCTAGGAGCTAGCAAGACCATAGTTGCCGCTATCGCGATTAACTATTTATTAAAATCAGTGTAGAGCAGCTTACATAAAGTTGCTTACGTATACTACAACTATAAGGACTAAAAGAAGCAGGATACTTTAAAGATGTTAGCAGCTATCCTCAAGCAGCTAGTGCAGGCTTAACTATTACTAGTAGATCCCGTAGAACGGTTGCACAAACAGCATGCTAACAGAAGAACCAGACCATCGCCTAATAATGTTTCTAGAGCACTCTAAGATATAATTGCACATTACTCTACTGTCTATATTGTGGTTAATGCTCTAGATAAATGTCTAGACAACAACGGCACTTAGGACCAGTTTCTAACCAAACTCCGCGATCTTTAGGCGGGACGTGACGTTCGCCTAATAATTACCTCACGTTTTATTCTAGATATTGTGGACTAGTTTAAGGAAGGTCTAAAGCTAGAGGTGTAGGCTAGTGAAGAGGATGTGAAGCGATTCGTAACTAGCTAGATATACTAACTGCTGAAGTGTATTTAACGTGACCCTGCGCTATAGGAGGTTGTCTAGAAAAAGATCGTAGAGGCGGTAGACGGCATGTATGTTTGTCCTAGCTAACTCGAAATATAACGTAGACTTACACATTCTTAGGTTTCTTCTTGCTTACCTCCACATTAATTCACTGCAAGACAAGGAAACGGCGAAGGACGTGAATTCAACACTAGCTAAGCTCTCCAAAGGCTCATCCGCACTCGATGACGCATACAAGAAGGCAATGAAACGCATAGAGGGCCAGTTAACCGGAGATTACGAACTAGCCAAAAGAGTACTATCGTGGATCACGTATGCGAAACGGCCGCTTACCACGACAGAGATCTGCTGTGCTCTGGCAGTAGAGCCGGACGAGGCGGGTCTTGATTCTGAGAACATACCTTATGTTGAGGACTTATTATCTGTGTGTGCTAGACTAGTCGTCGTTAACCAAGAAAGCGCTGTTATCTGTCTTGTGCATTACACCACTAAAGAATACTTCGCACGTATTCAAGATATATAGAATCTATGCGCTCAACTACGTATGGCCTTAACATATCTTACGTATCTATTATTTAGCATATTTAAAACTAGGAGCTGCTCCTCTGACGAAGAATTTGAAGAGAGGCTTTGAGGAAGCCAATTCTTAGACTATGCTACCAAGCACTGGGGAGACTATGCATTGGCAGCGGAAGGCGAGATATGTGAGCAAGCCTGCTTATTTCTTTCCTGCAAAGAATTGGTTTCTTGCGCTGTGCAGGTACTCTTACGACCAGAATACACATATCAGGGGTATAGCCAGAAATATCCCAAGGATAGCATAGTATTGCATCTTACAGCACGTTTCGGACGAGCTATTGTATTGGAGGCTCTGCTCCTAAATTAAGTAGGAAAGACAGCACTCGTATTAGAAAGAAGAGATAGCGAGGGCTAGACTCCCCTATATATTGCAGCAGAATTTAGACATCGAAGGATGGCGAAGCTGCTGCTCGACAAGTGTGCCAACGTCAATGCGCAGGGTGGACTCCGTGAGAATGCCCTCCAGGCGGCTTCATTACAAGGTCACGAGCAGGTAGTGAAGCTGCTGCTCGATAATGGCGCCGAAGTCAACGCGCAAGGCGGAAAGTACGGCAACGCACTGCAGGCAGCTTCAGCTGCAGGTCACCAGTCGATAGTGCAGCTGGTCCTTGATAATGGCGCTAATGTTAACAAGCAGGGCAGTCTCTACAGCAGCGCTCTCCATGCGGCTGTAGCTGAAAACCATACAGCTATTGTCAAGCTCCTACTCGACAACGGCGCTGATGCCTTGCGACACGACAGCCAAGGAAAAAGTAGTTTGCATTATGCTACCAACAGCATAAATTATAACATTAGTCTCATCAAGCTTCTGCTTTCACGAGGCGCTCCAGCAGACACGACCAACATCGATAACATGACTCCACTGCTTTACTGCGTCAAGTACGGCCACAAATCTATACTAGGATTGCTTCTTGACAACGGTCTGTCCATTGATGCTTGTGTTTATCGAAAGCCGTGGTCTCGGAACACTGTGACGACCGACACCTTTTACCAATCATCGGTTTCGGAGTCCGAGCCCGACATTTCGGGCACTTCGGCTGGCCTAACAGCTTTACACTTTGCGGCCCTGACTGGCAATTTAGACATGACCAAGTTCCTTCTAGAGCGTGGCGCTAATCCGAACGCTTTGTCCGAATACAACGAGTCGCCGATGCATCTCACGTTGCGTAAAGCCCTGCATGGACCAAAGCATGACGACGATTGGACCGACCCGGACTTCAGGATAGAAAACGTATGGGACTTCTTGGACTTTGAAGAAGACGAAATTCATTCAATTTCTGCAAGCATAAAAATGCATCGCGAAGGTGTGCTTGATGCTCTGCTCGCAGATGCTAGGACTAGTCTGATGATCAGAGACTATCAACATAACTACCCTTTGCACTGCGTTGGGTATAAAGAACCTGGAAGTGTATCGGTAATCCATAAACTAGTATTCAGAGGAGCAAATCCGTTGGAAAGGAACTTGAAGCAGCAAAACGCACTGCACCTTGCCAGTCGAGCTGGCGACCACGACGCGGTTGCTTTTCTGATTTCCCTAGGAGTTGAGCCTGCCTTGACGGACAACAAGGGGCTCAATGCTCTTCACTATGCTGCACAAAGTCGAAACCATGAGACAATCACTATTCTTCTAGAAGCAGCCATAGCAACAAGACCAAGCCTAGTGGCGTCGAAGGATAATCAGGGTAGAAACTCGCTCCACCACCTGCTTTCTGCGTCTGCAGTTCGGCATGAGACAATGCAGTTGCTGCTCGACAAGGGGGTAGATGGTTTGGAGTTGGACGCATCTGGCAACTCACCTTTGGCGAGCTACTTCAAACGAGCATGCCGGTTTTCTTCAAATGTCACCATCTGTCAACAATTGCTTTCAGTTCAAGGAAGCTCTTTTTTTTTGTTGACAAAAACGGACGAAACCTCGGACACTTGTGTACTGTACCTGTGAAATGCAGCGTTCAAGTCTTGGAGACTCTCAAAAAACACGGTGTCGATCTAGCACAGAAAGACTTGCAGGACAAGACAATATTGCACTATTTTGCGATGAACGGATCGCTGGCTAAGGAATCTTTGCATTACCTTGTCCATGATGTCGGCATTGAGATCAATGCAAAGGACGCGTCTGGAAAAACTGCGCTGCAGCATGCAGCAGACCAAGCACGGGAAGCTCGTCATCCCGACACCTTCGATCGCGGACGCTGGGATAGAAGTATGAAGCTATTGTTGGGATTGAGTGGCAGTTAAACAGCTTCTAGAGCTATGATTTTCTGTTTTTACGCAAAGGAGAACGAGTATCACTTCTAATACATACATACATACATTGACAAACTTGAACAGGCTCCTATTACCTGGTAGGTGCACAAACAACAAGAGATTATAAATATATTTCTAGAAGTTTTTTTCTACCTCGTATCTATTTACTTGAGAAATAAGTGTTCCGCCACACTGGTTATTCTAGTACAAGGGAATGCACGTTACACATGCTTGACGTTCACATTTTTTAATCTTTCACATGTTTACCGCTGATTCACTCGCCTACTTAGCCAAAACATACGTTCTCGCGATTGAGTGGGTGGGTGGGTGGGGTCAAAGGAACAGAGGTTCATGATTAAAAGAGTTGGGGACATGGATGCAGATGCAGATGCAGATTACTAACTCGTGTAGTTATTTCCGAGGAAGGATCGTCAATTTGAGATGAAGATTAGTGATCATAGCATTTGGGCATAAATCTGTGCCGAGGTGTTTTTTTTTCTGGTTGTTAGGTCGCGGATGTATATAGAGGAGGGTATGTAGCATAGCGCACGTTGAAAGGTTTCGTTTCGTTTCGTTTGGTTCAATTTTATTTCAGTTTTTTTGTTCAAAGTTTGTTTGTTTGTCATCACAGATTCGTAGTGTGATCGGGCACAAAAGGCAGCAAGCACAGTGTGTGTAAATGCATGGGTCATAAAGGTCGTAAATATTTGGGTACTATGGAGAAAACGGACCAAGTGTGTTGAACCTGCACACCCAGAATCCATGGCTGTTCCATAGTTGCATAGAAACTGACTTAGTAGGTATACCTGAAACCCTTTTGGTCGGAGTCCTGTACAAATTGTTAATATTGGTACTACTAAGAACTGAAAAAAAGCGGTAACTGGAACTTACATCGTTGTACTCGAGCTCAATCTCCCCGCGATCAGCACGCTTGTTCAGGCTCCATGAACGCAGGGTGATGAGGCAGACGAGGACAATGGAAAGAAGGCAGCATGCAATGCAGGCGTACAGGCCGGGTTCGTAGCCAGGGGCATCTTGCTCCCTGAAGACGAGACCGCCTGCGATACCACCTACACCGCCCATACCGACGAGAATGGCCGAGCAGAAAGCACGCTTCCATTGGCCGCGGATGTTGTTTGCTTGGTACGACATAGTGGCTGGGATGTTGCTGTTTGCACCAGCCGTGGTGAGGAAGACGCCAAAGTAGCGGACGTTGGGGTTGCTGTGGAATCCCATGATGGGAAGGCCGACGAGGCAGAGCACCATGTTGAAGATGATAATGGGGCCACGGAGGTGGTACTTGTCGCCGAGATAGCCAGTGGTGTACATGACGATGGCGGCAAAGGCGTAGGGTGGTGCGACAAGACATTGGGCGGCACCAACGGAGAAGCCCATGTTGGCTGTTAGGATGATGGGGAGGAAGTAGGCGAGAGCATAGGTCACAGTGGTGGTGTTGAAGAAGATCTGGATGGGTTAGTACATGCGGTATGATGAGTATGCATGGTTCCAACATACCATGGCGAATCCCCAGATCTTGATGTCGGTTCCGCCCTTTAGGAACTTGGCGAGAGACCAGGGCTCGACCTTGGCATCACCACGATCCCTGTTGACGCGCTCGATGATGAATCTGGCCTCGCGCTCGGTCAGGAACCTCCAGCTTTTGTGGGCCTTGTCTGGGAAGTCGACGAGGGCCCAGTAGCCGACGAAGCCGAGGAAGCATGTAAGTGCACCTTCAATAATGAAGATCCCTAAAAAAAGAGCAAATGTTAGTATTTGCTGCATGCAATGCTCATGGAGAGGAAAGCTTACAGCGCCAGCCATTGAGACCTTCGCGTCCCTTCAATTGCATCAGTCCATAGGCGAGAATACCAGCACATGCCGAGGCCAGACTGCCAAGGATGTAGAAGCACGAGTACCGCTTTCCGACATCGAAGCGAGTGTCTACAGGAGAAGTTAGTTTTGTGCCGAGAAACAAGACCAGCCATACATACACCATGTCGACAGCAGGTAGACGCAGCTAGGGAAGAAGCCAGCTTCTAGGACACCAAGAAGTACTCGCAGACCAATCATGGCACCATAGCTGCGGGCGAAGCCCATGCCGATCATGACGGCGCCCCATGCAATGACGATGAAGGAGAGAAAGTTGCGTGGTCCGAGGTGGCGGCAGATGACAGTGGCCGGGGGCTGGAAGACAATGTACGAAGCAAAGAAGACGATGGTGACGACCGAGTAACGCGAGATGGTTCCTTCGAGGACCTTGAGATGCAGCTCGGCAGTCATACTAGAAAGATATCAGATTGGGCATGTGCAATTGCAATTCTCGGGTATACGGACCCAGCAATTGAGGCGGCACTGAGGTTGGTGCGGTCCATCAGACTGATGCAGTACAGCACGCCGACCGTCACGACCAGACGCCTGTCGATGCGGTGGATAATCTTCCTCTGTTCCCGCTCGGTGAACTCGCACTCATAGCCGGAGCCATCTTGCGAGCCGTCGATGTTTTCCCGCAGCGAGACGGGGTGCTTCTCAAGCATGTCGTCGTTGGGCATGGCGGGATTGTGGGCGGCCATTGTGGAGGACAGGTGAAGAAGGGGATCGGGGGGAGGGAGGGCAAGATCAGATGCCTGAACAAGGCAACAGAGGACCCACGATATGGCCATTATAAGGCAGGGCTGCTGGCACACGGTCCCCGCCATGGCAGCAGGCCAAGGCCAGTGGGTGGATGCAGCGGGCAAACAGGACGAGAAAAGTACCGAGGCACGGGCAGCCAGCAGGCGCCGATTTGAGCGGGCTTGTTTGCAGCCATTCTCCACGCGGGCAGGCCGGGCAGAAGCAGAAGCAGGAAGAAGGCCGGGCAGAGACTCCCAGGACAGAAGCGGAAGCTGGGGAGAGGCTTGGCTTGGCACGTGGGGACCCCGCATGCTGGCCCAAGCCCCCTCTGCGTCTCGCCCAGCTCCACTCCAAGACTTCTTCTCCCTCCAAACCACCGCAGGCACCGCCGGCCCCTTCTCGCCGCCATGCCACTTGTCTCTTGTCATCCGCGCTTCCCCCCATCCGCGCCCGCCTTGCGTGAACGGCCCGGGCTATCACTCAGACCGCATACAAGTCTGCCTTGGACGTCCACGCTGCTCGCTGCCCCCCTCAGCTCCGTGCTGCGTCCCCGCGACATGACGCGGGGTAACGTCGTCTGCTGAATGCTCCACCGGGCCACCTTCGACTGTCTAGATCTTGCCTCGAGTGGGACATTGCTCCGGCCTCCTTTGTGCCATGTGTGGCTACGAGCCGCATACAAGCAAGCCCCCTTGCCATCCATCTGCCGCCCCCAAGCCGCCGGCCGCTTGGCACCCTCTTGACCGTGTCGTCATGCTGAGTCGCGGTTCTTTTCCCTCGACATGTTTGCTGCATACACGCTCTCGACACGCACTGCGCCATGACTCACTGCAGCTACGTGCAGCCATCGAGCTGCTTCCAACTGTACTACCCCAACATGCAGAGCCCCCAGGCTCCCAAGAGATAGCAACAACGGCCAGCGAGTCGACCGTTGTTGTTGGGGCGCTGGCCACGCGCCTTCGGCCTCCGGCGTTACACAACATATCTTACTAGCACATACATCCGTTGTGGATCTACACACTGACTGGCCTGATTCGCCCACCAACAGCAGCGTCCCTGTCGATTGATCAGCAGTCTCCACAGATGCAGTCATGCATACGTCGCCGTTGCTGGCTGCAAAAGTCCCGGCTCGAGGGTTGCTTTGTTTTCCGCCGCTACGAATGGCACCGTCGAATAGCTTCTTTGAACTTCGGATTGTGGCGTCAATCACACCACCACCATTTCCATGGCTTCTCAATGCTCGAATCATATACTGCATACATGGCTCTATGGAGTACACCTACAAGGCCCGCCCCCGCAAACCATTACTTGAAGCTCAGGACTAGGCAGTAGGTATACGGAGCTGATCAGCGGCCGGGGGCACTAGCCGACAAACGGACATGACTCTTGACATGCCTTGCAAGCTCCTACTCCCAGCAAACCGAGACGCAACCCGTTTGCCAAGCACATACCCCAACTGTCACTGGACAAAGCACCATGTCAGTCTCCAAAAACCACGTGTGCGTGTAATGAGATGCCAACCCACACAGTACATGTGGCGATCATCGCAGCCCTATCCAGGTGCTTGGGAGCCCATGTGCATTCCCTTACCCCGGATTTTCCCTCTCTGCCCCCAACTCACGGGGGCTGGGGGTTCAGAGGATTCCGTCTACATACGTCCAATGAGGCTCGAGAACACGTTCGACTGGCCGAGGCAACGCAGGCGCTCAAACAAGCTGCAAGTCCCTTGAGAGTCTCTCCCTCCAGACACGCCACATGCCCATTCACGCTTCCTGTGGACTCCTTTTTTTTCAATGAGTCCAAACGCGAACCTCTGTGATCCTTCCAATGCACCTCTTTTCGTATATTGAGTTTGCGTCCTTCGCCAATCACGCTGCGGGGATGGACCGAGGCATCTTACCGTCGTGGCCAACTGTGGCTGGAGGCGTGAACGCCGCACACAAGACTACCATGTAGTGTCTTGAGGGTGCGAGGGGAAAGGCTTAAGATACTACCAATGGGATGGTCGAGTGCAGTGCAGCTTCCGAGGTGGAGAGGTGGAGAGCTGTGCGGCCAAGGCGGTGCGTGCATGGTGGACAAGCCACAAATACCAGGCATCGGAAAGAGACGGTTAGGCTGGTGCCGTCGCTAGTCAGGGCTTGTTTTGTCCCATGACGGTATGGCAGTGCTCGGTTAGGTGCTGCGTGTTGCCCATTTGGGTTGTTGCTTGCAGTGAGTCGAGTGTGTTTGTATGTTGTTTGAGAATACAGCTGCATTCTAACTCTCATGACAGATCACGTCTAACTACCGCAAACACCTAATCGTAGTGTCACTAGCAATACACCGTCTACCCGCCGTCTAGCACATTATCCAATACTCTCTATTCTATTAGTACAAAACCATCTCACAGCCGAAACTTCTCGCCAGCATTCCCCAGTGGGAAGTACTTTGCGCAATTGCCCTTCTCAGCCGGCATCTTGAACTCGCTCGCGACAGTCGTATGAATCAGATGCAGCAGCGCGAGCTTGACCGAAACCGTGCCCTTTTCCTCGTCCAGCACATCAGTATGCTTGATAGGAGGCGAGTAAAACAGATTTGGCTCCGCCATGACATCCACCCATTCGAATCGCGGCGGGTCCCCTTTGCGCGCCACATTAACTTTGATGCTACGCTTGACAATGTCGAAGCGGAGGAAGATGATTTCGTCGCTGCTGATGATGAAGCCGTATTTGGTGTCGCACGCGAGCATCCAGCGCGTGATGTCGCCTAGCAGAGAATCAGTAAGTGTGTGACGCTTTTCGACGGGCTAACTCACCTAGAACGCAACGCAGACTGCCCCATGTATTCCTTGCTGCTTCCTTGATTGCCAGAGTCAGCGCGCCACGCCGTCCTCCGAGATACTCGGTGTGTCCGAGGAGTCTCGTTTCGTCCTTGCCGTTGGCAGACCTCGCGCGAAGCATGAAGGCGGGCCTGGAGTTCTTTGTAGCAGGGTCCGCGCTTACTGCTGTGCTCTCGATCCATATGCCCTGCGGGATATTCTCGGCCAGTGCTTCTTGCATGGTTGTGGTGGCGAGAAGCGTGTTGTATATCTTCTCCACCATCTCCAGCACTTCGCGTTGAAAGTGGTCTTGCAGCTTCGCTGCACCCTTGCTGTCTTCAAGGGTCTCGCTGTCGACGGGGCGCGCCTCATCGACGTGGCGGTTTTCCATCTCCTTGAACGCGCTCTTGCAATCGTCGTGGTTCCAGTGCGCTATGGCTTCGTGCTGGAATTCTTTCCACACATGCACGTACCCGAGATACCAATGACGCTGCGCATCAGCGGGCAGGAATAGCGGCTCGTCTGCATCTGGCATGGGGAGGTAGTCGGTACGGAAAGGCTGCAGTACGGCTTCCGTGGCGGTTGTGTGCTCCATTTCTGTAGTTGTAGCGAGGCTCCGGAATGTTTCTGGCGGATCTCCTCCAAGCAGCAGTGGGTTGAGGTCTGGAGTGAGAGAAGGCTCTGGATCCGACTGTCCCAGTTTGCTGGCATTTGCCGGTTCGGTGACTGAAGGGTCCGCTCCCTGCTTCCTGGACTGTCGGTCAGTTACAAGCTGTGACAGAGTGACTTCACTATGGCTGACCCCTCTTTGGGTCCCTTCACCGAACCCTGCTTCTCATGGCGATTAAGTGCTTCAAGCGGGCTCTAGCCGCATTGTTCTAGCAGCCGGTATGCTTCATGAGTGTCGAGCTTGCTGACTGCCATGAATTGATGCAGGCGTGCTCGCTGTTGCGTTGTCAGGCCTTCCAGGAGCTGGTCGGCGGTAGGGCTGCTGGTTTCTTTGTTGGAAGACATAGCGAAGGTAAGCGTAGTAATACGTTAATGCGGTCAATGGTGACGATGCTGAGGGTAGTGTATGATGCCAACCAAGAGTGCGCGGGTTGGTTGGGTGGTCTTGGTCAGCCATGGCGTTCCTGCTTTAGCAAATCCAATTCGGGAGGGTCGTCACGCAGAGTTGGAAGGATGCATTGTAGATGTTTCTTTTTGTGTCCATCTAGCCTGTGCTTTTGAAGAGCTGGGCATGTCTAGAATGACTAGCAACTCTGTATGTGACATGTGAATAATATATCGCCATGTGATGGCTTCAGTTACAGTATACCGCAATGGCACCTGAAGTGCGGCTCTTTGTAGGACTGGTAATGTCAGTCATGTGATGTGTCTCCTGCATGGATCACTATCTTGTGATTTGCCCGATGGTTGGTCCCAGCGTCACATCCGCATCAAGCAGAGTCCCCATGTCCATGTCCATGTTCGTGCTGTAAACTCTCTCCATTTGCAGCCCTCTGATCCATCCACTCGCGAATCGGTCCCCATTTCCGACAGGTATGCGTACCGGACCGTCCTATGCTGATGGGAAACCCGGGCCATGTGTAAGTGGGAGACGGAGTCAAATCGCCATGGCACATGAGGGCCTGTCTGACGCGGTCTAAGCAGTGCTCCAGGTGGTTTCTTTTCCACATGGGGTCGTTGACGAGCTTCATAATCTGCTCCTCGGTTTTGCTATGCGCGTCCTGTGTACTTGAGACGTTGTACAGCACGGGATGGAGGTGCACGCGAATACTGTTGAGGCAGTGAAGCGAGTGGAATACATCTGGTCTAGCAAGGTGGAGCCGTGTTATCAGACATGATGATCGTACAGCCGGTGGTAGGGGAATGCGGTGTCTTACTCGAAATGATACTTTCCATCTGTAGAAAATGGCGTCGTGTCATCTGGAAATGCACGGCGTTCGTCGTCGGTCATGATAACAAATTCGCCTGAATCACTGCGCATCAGCAAGTGCTCTTCTGCATATGGGCCTTGCGTTGGTACATGCCATGTAATAATTCGTCCCAGGCTCGCTCTATCTCCGGACTGGGCGGTCCAAAATACTCTGTTTCTGCATCTCGAAGACGGAAGATTTTACGTTGATCTGGGTCGTATGTCAGGGCTCCCGTGTATTCTCGCTCCTCGTATTCAATCGCCTTGCGTGCATCTGGTAAGTCAGTTCTCCAGACTGCGGGACGCTGACGAGACCAGATGGTGAGGTTTCCAATGGTAAAGGTCACGAGCAGCAGTAGGTTGGCCGTCGTCCACCAGCACCATTGCCGATTTGAAGTTTGTCGCCTAGCCCATTTTCCCGGTTGCCGTGTCTCTTCTTCGTCAAGAAGGGCGACGTCTTCTTTGTTTTCGTTGTCAGTAAATGACATTGCGGTATCGGGTGTGCGAGGGACGTTGAGGAACGGAAACCTACCGCAACAGAAGACTGCAGAGACAATGTCCTGGCTGTCAGCCCCCACATTCCAGGGAGCCTGCGTATGGGCATGAAAGACCCGACAAGTTTTTTGGAATTTCAATGTGTATTACATCCATGCGCCGGTCGGTAATCAATCAGCGTCACTATGCAGCGTGCCGGACCTTACCATCTCTGGCAAACTAACAAGGCTATTTTGCCTCAAGCTGCCGCATTTAAAACTAGGTGACCTCCCCGAGCATTTATGCTGACACGTTACGCCATTAAGCGGTGAGGGAGTCTGGCCGAGCACGGGCTGCGGCTCCTTTCCGTGACATGGTTGTCCTAGGTAGTCTGTGTTGGACGCAGTTTTACGACACCAATCGATTCAACGCAATGAGGCAATCATGTCTATCGATAACTACATAGTAGTTGTCTATCTGGCTATCAGCAGGCAGCTTCCAAATACTTCATCGCCGAAACCTTGTTGTATAATGCGTAAGCACTAGTGTTATCCTAAATCAAGTTAAACTTTAATCCATTTATCCTCCGCGGTTATACGATCCACCCCTCAACCAAACACCCGTGCTTACTATTCATGCATTGCAATACGTAAAGATATTGCTAGGGTGTTTGCGCCGGAGGGATCCCGCTATGAGATGAGATGAGTTCCGGTGCATAGGTGTTGAAGAAGATGTAATCGAATTCACGCTGGCAACAGTACTATTCCACAAGACAACAACTTCCAATGCCGCATATGCAGGTTGCAAACCGTATCGAGATCGCGACCCTCCTAAAGGCTCTGATAAATAGCCTGAACTTGGGCTTAGGTCCTATTTACGAAGACTTGGATCAGTTTGCCCTGCTACCTGCCTCGTCACCTTTGTCTAGCTCAGAGGACGTGGTGACTCTCCTTGTCGTTGATTGGTGGATTATCCATCATAGAAGGAAATATATCCAGTATTTGCCAGTCCGACAATGGACTGTACCACCAACTGGAGGGGTTAATGGGGAGAGTTTAAAAATCGCTTCCGCATATCGGCACTATAGAAGGAGATACCATGACATGGCATAAATCGAACATTATTTGCTGCACGCGTAGAGTAGGGCGTAAGTACGGCCTTGTATGGCTCTCTATGCATCCTTGAGTAGCAATCTACCTCTCTGGGGCTGCTGCTTGCTTGTGAGCTTAACTAGAGGCAGAGAAGAGCTAGTACACTATTTGATTAATACAGAATAGATGCCAGGCCTTGTAAAAGTGGTCGTAAGCTAGAGTAAAGATAGGCAGCCGTGGTACAACCTAAGACAGCTCTTAGGTACCGATACGGTACAGCGGCAGCAGCAATTAATATATCTTAGTTTTTCAATCGTAATTACGGCTCGTAGTTTCACCGTATTGTGTCCCGTTGGACGCGCTGCTGAACAGAGAGATGATTTCAAGGCAGGATAGCAGTTTGTGAGTAAAGTACGTAGTATTTCAATTACTGGTCTCATGAAGATGCTCCTAGATTTTCTCAACAAAGGCTACATCTATGGACTTGCGAGATGCCGATCCCGTCACTGGGTGCTGTTGCAACAGGGCTACATTTAGGGTGGTGCGGGATCATTATGCTTTACCCCATTGCTCTTCTTGTCGGCTTGGTCAGGCTAAAATTGTATATGCAATTCCCACACATTCAATTCTCGGTTTTCTATTTCCAGAGCTATATCTTTCTTGTTCACATGCTCATTATGGTCATTCATGTAGCTTGGCTTCACTTACGAAGTAGCTACTTCAAGGCCGCGCTCCTTCACCTCATCGCCTTGTTCGCCCGGCTTCGATTGCTGGGTAGCTACTAACACGCCACGCTCATTCACTCCTCCGCCCTGTCCTTCCGGGGTAGCTACTAATACGCCGCGCTCCTTCAGCCCTCCGCCTTGTCCGTCCGGGGTAACTGCTTGAAGGCCACGCTCCTTCAGCCCTCCGTCTTGTCCATCCGACTTCAATTGCTGGGTAGCTACTAACACTCCGCGCTCATTCACTCCTCCGCCTTGTCCTTCCGGAGTAGCTACTAGAACGCCGGGAGAACGCCCGTCTAGAAGATGATATCAATCAGACCTCTTCCGCTGGATTAAAAAGATGTACTAACCTACGGCAGCCGGCACAGCTATGGGGGCAGCCACAGTAAGCCCAACCACAAAAGATACGGCATAAACGGAGATTTTCATGATGGATAGCAATGAAGGAGTAGTGATCTTGTATAATGGTTAGTTGAGATGTAGTCTTGAATGATACGCGCACTTGACTGATTCGTGCATCTGCTTTTATATTCTACCTAAAACTTTCATTCCTGGTTTAGTCTCACATCATGAATGGGTCGACGTTGCCGATAGCGGTCTGGACCGGAGACTTGTTTCAGGTTAGGCAATATCATGCAAACTATATTCTCACATAATCCTTCAAATGTGCCGCGGCGCTAGTGGTGAACCCTCCTCTCCGCCGTAATGGAACAAGGATTATACGTTTCCAAGAGGAATAAGCATTTAAGCATGTCGTATCACAACCCCGAGTCATATGTGTGAGTGCAGCCGTCCATGCAACAACTCCGCCGGAGTAGGACTGACCATTCCCCCTCATACTCCCCTGCTGCATAGTGTTACTGGCTGAGGATACAGTGGAATGACATTTCAAACAAGGGATTGAGAGCGCGATTAACGACTGCCAATCAAATCACCATACGTATTCTCCATAAGCGGATATCAGGACCGTCCATGAAGCAAATGCCGCGATCTTTTATTCTGGCCACGCGTCGTTGAGCTGTCCATGACCAATGTAAAAGTCCTCTTGGTTGGTTAAGGGTTTCGCATACAGTTCAATCCTGTCCCAGAAAAGAGCTTTTCACCATCTTGTTGCTTACCGGGGTTGCCTTGTTTGTGTCATGGATCTTGTAGCAACATGGCGTAAAGCGGTTATCTGCCTGTGAACTCAGAATCTGACGTACATGTAGTCTACTCTTCAAACGTTCATGATGCTCACAATGACACGGAAGTATTAACACACGATGTTCTTGGGACGTTTGCTAGTACAAGATCAGCTTTTGAAGCCGGGCACGGTGAAAATATTCAAGCCTTTCACAAAGGCCCCTTACATTGTGATGAGAACCCTGGGATATCAAAACACTCGTGGATGCAAGCTCCGAGATCTGAGTTGGAGGGTTTCTTCGCGAAAAATTATGGACATGGCAAGATCTTCCTTATCTCGGCGGAAGACATGAAGCGTCTCGAAAGGAGCCTTCTTAATATGAACGCATGGGAGAAGACGGGGGCAAAGATGACAAGATTCATCGAGCACAGTTTGAAGTAATTCATCAATTGCCTTGCGTCCATCTGCTACAAAAGATGTTCTAGCCAGAGTATTATGGTTTGGATACCAAGACCACTTTCACAGACCTGGAATAGCGCAGATACCGGGATCACTGTATATGGGCAACATACGACTAGATTTCATGCCATGTTACCTTGGGTGTGTACAGCTTTAAATGGATAGACGGCACTCCACGACCATTTTTCGATCATGCTTCGCAAAGCCAGTGCCGAGATATGAGTCAACTAGATAAGTTCTACGATGACCACGATGTGTCCACAGACGCCCAGGTACGCTTCCTTGTGCCGAGAGATGAAGATTTAATACATCCAATATCAGCAGAACATAAGAGACTTGACTATTTGCCCAAGGGGGGACGAGAGTTGATGCGACAGCCTGAAGAGTAACTCCGCCAGCAGCGCGAGCTATTTTACAAGGCAATCGCAGAGTGGGAAAGTACGGACAAGATGCTAATAACTGCTGGTGATGAATTAGTTTAGAACGATACGTAGCATGCAACACGTAAAAATAATAGTAAGTGCGCCCTTTGCTGTTGGTTATGTGTAAGTATGTCTGCCAATGTATGATCAAGCTTCCAAGCTTCCAAGCTTTAACCGAGCCGACCTGCAGCCGTGCGCGGCCTATGACACCATCATGCCGAAGGCAGCTCCAACATCTTGTTTACAGCATCACACCATGGTTTCCATGTGCGCGTATCAAATGACTCTCCCAATCACCCTACCACTACCTACTCGTCGATCTCCAAGCTGAGAGCCATGTACTCATTGACGCTAGCTGGAATACCGATCGCGGTGGGCGCCAATGAAGCCGTGCACCAACAGCGTCTCCTAGACGAAGAAGCGGAGGCCGAAGAGCGCCAAGAGGAGCTTTACCTCGATGTTTTTTGCGACGCGAAGAGCAGGAAAAAGGATGAGGTCGACGGCGCAATTGTAGTTCTGAAAGACGGAAAGGTACAAGGTCCCCACTTGATGCGCCGCTTGATATATGGAAAGTAGTGCTAATGTATATTCAGATAAGGCTGTGGCCCAAAGACCCAGACACGGGTCTCCCCAAATCCGGTCCAAATGCTGAGCCACCGCCCCATCCCTTTACGGGGTTTTACCTGCCTTTTCCATCGTCTGAGCTTCCGCATCGCCCTATGCCCGCCGCTCCAGTCCTCGGTCTTGTCAGCACAGTCCCACCATCTCCTTCTTATTCGACAGACTCTTCAGCGCCCTCGACTCCCTCACCTGTACCGCAAAAGTCCTCAAGGCCAGCAAAGCCAAAGCTAAACTGGGTCTACGCGCACAACAAGACGCGAGAGTTGCGCTATGGGCCGCGGTCGGAAGCGAAGAAACATACAATTGGGCCGTGGGACTGGACAGAAGATGAACAAGGGCTGATGTTGGATGATGAAGAGTGTCTTGTCGCTGTGGAAGAGGAGAGGGGTGGGTATGGCTGGGCCGTGTACTGGGATCGGGAAGATGATTGTTTAAAGGGTGTGGGTGTGGGCCAGGAAAAGAGAGTTTTGAGGTGTAGTTTGGAGAGGCGGCTTGTGGAAAAGAAGAAGATGAAGGGGTTGGATGAGGACTGATTGATGGATGTGAGCAATTCCCAGAAAATGATACGGGATATCATGCAATTATGTCTTAGATCTCATGCTGAATATTGAACCAGTCAAGAAAGAATGTACAACGGGGAGATTACTATGTTTGTTTCTATTAGGAATTGAACGTGGTGACGCGGCGGATTTCACCATGCCATAGGGTACACAATAGATAGCAGCAAGGCACTGTGCCCTATACCTTTTACACGTTGAGTTAGTAGTGGTCTATACGATGGATGTTTGGGAAGAGCGAAGAGCGATGCCTTCAGCGAACGTGAGTACTTGTCTAGAAGACGGGCTTGTTTTGGTGACTTCAAGTTGAGATTACAAGTATGTACAATTGACTGGTTTGGCTATGGTAATTCCTTGGGTAGTGTTGATTAGCTCGCCTGTACATGATTTGATGTTCAGTGCTGATGTGGTTATCATCTGTAAGAGTAGTACAGTACTGAGCTCACCGATTCGGTGCGTGGAACTCGGGATATAGACTGCTGTTAGTAGCTTAAGACAAGGCCTTGGCAAGTTTGGATGCGGTAGAATGTTAAGGGAGCAATGCTGGCCCTTGTTGTCGATTTGGGTACAGCGTGACAGCTTGTTTTCTCCCACGACCGGCTCAGTTTGGCGTCCATCTGCTCATGTGGTGATAAAGTGATACTGTGGCTGCAAATGCTTACAGTATATCATGTTCCTGATATGAGAGTGTTGGAGATCAGGCATGTTGAATTCACCCGAGACTCATGTGCCCAGCGGATATCCAGTGGTTTCATATGCCATGGCATACGTGAGTTGCTTTTGAAGATGGTCGACTGGGCGACGACATGTATCGGCGTATTCCTTCAAGGCCAAACATGCAAACATTGACTGAAACGACTGGGCAGAAGCAATGGTGTGCCGACGACGACAATACTGTCGTGAGATGACGTCGTATGCGAGCCGATGGACAGAGCTAATCAGCTAGTAGAAAAGTAATGCGGCAGATGTGCTCATCGATCGTCGATCCGAGTCAGGAGAGATGAATTTAGGCGTTTCGAAGCGATGAAAGTAGGCCAGTGTCTCTGCTGCTAGCCCAGGCTGTTTGTGTTGGTCCAAACCTGGCACAACGCCTCTCTCTGCGTGAACAAAGCCCAGTCGATGGGTTAAATGAATTGTCGCACCCATGCAGGTAGATGTCGGCACTAGGACGCGTCGCTGTTCCAGAAGACGCGGGCCCAAGGCGCGTCCGTTGGCCGTGCGCGATGACGGTGTTAGTGAGCGGATCGTCGCGTGCATCCGTGCAGGGATGTCAGCGCCACGCCTTGGTTTCCCCGGCAAGACGCAGGGACGCCAACGATAATAAACACACAACACCAAAGAAACATCGGCGCCCGTGTGCTTAAAATCTGCCCACACACACACACGCCCCCGCCTTTACGACGCCAGCACGAAGTACTGATTTCCCCTCTTACGACCTCCTTCTTCTCCTCTTCTCCTCTTCTCCTTCTTCTCCCTCTCCACTTGCTCTTTTGGACACCCGTTGCTTTCTTCTTCTTCTTAGCTGTACGCTGCATCTCCGTGGTACCCCACCGTGCACAGTGTTTTTCCGTGACAGCCATCAGAGCGGTGCTGCGCACATTTCCCACGGGTGTATCACTTGAAGACGACACGATGGCTCTCTCAGCAAACGGACGAGGCAACGGCGCCAACGCCACGGTCGCTCAGCGGTAGGTCTCCAGTCGCACGATGCCTCTTACGCCACCACACCTCCCATCCGGCACAATGACTGACAAGATACGCTGCAGACTCCAAAAAGAGCTCATGGACATCATGACCAAGCCCACGCCGGGCATCACGGCCTTTCCCGACGACGAGAACATGACGGTGTGGACGGCGACGATTGACGGCCCCGCCGACACGCCCTACGCGAACCTCGTCTTCAAGCTGTCGATGGAATTCGCAAACAACTACCCCTACAGCCCGCCCACGGTGCTCTACAAGACGCCCATTTACCACCCCAACGTCGACTTCTCGGGCCGCATCTGCCTCGACATTCTCAAGGACAAGTGGAGCGCAATCTACAACATTACAACTGTGCTGTTGAGTCTGCAGAGTCTGCTAGGAGAGCCAAACAAGTGAGTACATGTCATTCTTGGTGTTCTGCCTGGTGGAGTAGAGGAGTGTAGAATTCGAAGAGAGGGAAAAGTTTGGAGACGACATGATATGCTGACACTGCTACAGCTCAAGTCCTCTCAACGGCCAGGCTGCAGAGCTCTGGGACAAGGATCCCGCCGAATACAAGCGTCTGGTGCTTGCGCGCCACAAGACACCCGAGGAGCTGGATGGTTGAGAGGTGCGGTGAACTGCAGTGTTTGTGTCGGTTGTTTCGACGGTGCTCATGGTTTCTTTTTTTACTATCCCGGTAACATTTGATAGCTGTTACTGGACGGACAGGAAGGCCTGACAGCAAAAGTCGTTGTTATGCATCTTCAGCGAAGGCGTTGGGCGTGCTTTTTTGAAGAGTGGGGGGGAGTGATTGTCTTTTTTTTTCCTCTTCATGTCTATAATGAATGGATGAGTAGTAATGAAAAGATTTTGGTTATTTTGATTCTGATTTCAGATGTGTTGGTGGAAGAGTTGAAATGTCTACTTTGCTGCATGTCTTGTCTTGTCTTGTCTTGGCTTGATTTTACTTGGGGTCTAGTGAGGTACTTGGCTGGAAATACGTGTTCGTGTTCGTGTACGTGTACGTGTACTACGGCCAAGTACCGATGTATGCATAGTACATGTAGTTGGATGCGCTTCGCTTTCTTCCGCCTCGCCTCGCCTCGCCCCGGTATATTATGCCATGCCATGCCACGTCTTACCCTGCGCACGGTCAATAGCAATAGCAATAGCATTAGCAATAGCAATCATGCCATGGCAGAAAGACAGTGGCGAGACGTGTGAGCACGAGCACGAGCACGAGCAAAAAGTAAGCATGCTATACTATAGGTATACAAATAGATGTGGGAATCGGTAGTAATGGTCTCTCCACTCTACTCGACTGCACTCGACTGCACTCGACTCGGCTCGACTTGACTTGACTTGACTTGACGGCGCTAAAGAAAAAGCTAAAGCTACTTGTGTCTGTGTCTAAGAGTAAGTGTGAGTATGAGTATGAGTATGAGTATGAGTATGAGTATGAGTATGAGTATGAGTATGAGTGCAAGTATGTATGTATATATATATATATGCGTTTGCCATATCCTATATGTCATCCCATCCCATCCCATCCCATCCTATCTAATCGAATCTAATCTACCCCATCATATTCCAAGCCATGTTGAAAAAAAAGAGGTTTCGCATGGGATAAACTGGGTGTAAATAGGCGTGTGCACGTATAATACCATATCAAAGTGACGATGCTGGGAACCTACTCACGTCTAGGTTTATACATGTATATGTATGTACTTTGTTACTTGCAATCTGTATACCTCGTACTTGATTATTCCTCCTCTTTCTCTCCTCGTTTCTATATTTACTGCAGTACCGCATCGCATCGCATCGCATCGCACCTCGGACCCGGATCCGGATACACAAGTGCCCTTGATTAGCGTACCAAGCTTCCATCTGCTTACACGCAGCCCAGCCCAGCCCAGCCCAGCCCAATCCAACCCAGGCTAGCCTCGTATCTGCAGTAGTAATGCAGCAGTTAACAGTAGTGGTAGTGTCATGTAAGTGTCAGTGTCAATGTGAGTATTTATTTTAGCCGGGGTGTAGTTTTGCTGGATTGCTTGCTTGTTTGGGTTACTTTGGCACCCACTACCGAGGTGGAAACATGTACATGTGCATGTGAATGTGTACGCACATGGACACGCTGATGGTGGGGAAAACGGGAGGGTATTCGTAGCGTTCAGTACCAGAGTATTTTTTTTTTCGTGTGTTCGCATGGAACCCTGGGAATATAGATTGGGATATGGATTGGGATATGTATGGGCAGGGTGGTGGTGGTGGTTGGGGTGGGGCTGCTGTATTCCGTCGGCGGACGGACGGGACGTCGGCGAGCGGGCGGCGGCGGCGGCGGCAAGCGGCTTCTGTAGCAAAAAAGACAGGACTCATTCTCACTCATATGTCGAGATGATTCGGAAACTCCGTTTTTTTCCTTTTTGCATACGTAGGCTCACGCGAGCAATAGACCGAGAGGGGGGGGGCGCAGACGCAATCCATGGATGGGAATGGGACCCGCTTTGATGATTATTAGCCGTTGCAGTTTGTCTTGATTCCCGAGTTCCGCTTCGCACACATAACCCCTCACTTTTGATGGCTCGCCTGCCACTTCCGCAGCAGTGACCTGACCTGGCCGGACCGGATCATTGTCGTGGTTCCGCGCTTCAACGGCTTAGATTGTTGGCTGACTGGGTGGGAAGGGTAGGCAAAGGGCCCCATGTTTGTCGGCCGTGCCCCACGCCCGCCACTGCCGCCGAGTGCGCGGGATCCGTGGCCGGGGGAAGTGGGCGGCACACGCTAATCCTGGCTGAGCGAGTGCAAGCAAAGCCCACGCGGCCGCCCGACCGCACCGCCCTCTCTTCCCTGCCCCCAGGGCACACCTCACATCACATCATAGGTGCGTGTACAGTACATGAACGGCCAGACAGGGCTCACGCTGCAACAGTCGTGGTCGTGCACTTGCAAAGGGGATCTGCTTGCCGATCAGGGCCAGCAGATTGGTTTGCGTTTTGGCCCTTCTTTTTTCGGGGGCTGTCGCATCAACGTACCGTACCGCACTTTGGCACGTACGTACATGTACAATTTACTTTCTCCGGGCTGGGGAGGGTTAGAGCCAAAGGGGAAAGTGGGCGGTTGTGGTTGCGCCATGGTATTAATGAAGCTGGACGACGAGGGGGTGGGTGAGGGGGAATACGAACAAGCTGCACAGGCTTCGGCGGCTTGACGTGGCGTCCGAGCAAAAGGGCGCCGTGCTCATGAGAAAAAAGAGTGGTTTGCCATGATGGCGGTGATGCTTTGTGCTGCGTTGTCATGGAGCGAGGCGAACATGGGGGGACCCAGCGAGAGAGAGAGAGAGAGAGGGGGCGCAAGGGCGAGAGGGCCAGCGTTATGGGATTGCGAGTATTAACGACGTTTTTTTTTTCATTTCCAAATGGCGGGCCGTTTGGATACGGGTGCGGGTCGAGATCCGATGCACACGGTCACAAAACAACAGCAGACATTAAGGATGGACGTGTAAGGCGACGCGATACAAGCGGCAGCCTCGGCGGCAGCACGCATAGGTGTAGGCCAGCGACATGATACGGAATCGCGTTCATCTGTCGGAAATAGTCCGGGTCTGTAGCGTGTCTTGACGTAGGCATATGGCGGCGCAGAGTCGCTGGAGTAGTGCCAAGGAGATGACGAGGACTATAGGGGCAGGGTCATGTAGGGGCTTGGGTTTCGACTGTCAGGCTCGTGGCGTGTGTGTGTGAATGTGGCTTTGGGCGGCGCAGTTGGCAGCGTCGAGATCAAAGGCGGAGAGGGCGTGTAGAATGCTTTTTGTGGAGTCAGCAGCCTCATTCGTGCGCAGATGGCTCCGATGCAAGCGCTGGGCCGGGGTGGTGGACCGAAAAAGTACATTCACATTGGCAGTGATTTCGAAAAAAGCATGGGGGGCGGGCATTGCTGTACTCGGCTTGGCTGGCGTTTTGGCGGTCTTGTGACAAGGTTTTGTCACACTGGCTCCAGGTGGGCGTGTGGCGGCGTTGCATGGGCAATATGGACAAAGGACGCGCAGATATTGTCGTACGTCGGATGGCGACGCAGACCGACGACGAAGGCGGTGCCGATGGGAAAGGTGACTAACCAAGCCACACGGGGGGCGGATGTGGAAGCGCCTTGGGCATGTCGTGGGCGGGAAGGGTTTGCAGGGCTTGCAGTGGCTGCAGCATATAGTAGAGTATACATGTAGTAGTAGTAAGCCGTTCGCTCTCGCTGCCCGCGCTCTCGCTCTCGTTGTCGCTGACGCATTCGGCTATTGTTGCCGGGCGCCGAAAGCGGCCACGGCCACGGCCACGGCCATGGGCGGGTTGCTATCTGTCTACAGTACAGTAGCCCAGCGTGCTAGTGCCGAGTCGACGGCCTGACGCTGCAGCCATGACGCGCCTGTACGAATCATGGAAGCATTTGTGCGCGCGCTGGCATGGCAGATGGGTGAGTCCGGAGCGTGTGGCTGAATGCGCGAAAAGGTGGTGGGGGTTGTTGGGCCCTGGAGCCCTGACTCGCGCGCGATAGAGTTTGTGAGGGCAGAAGCGAGTAGCGCGTCCGACACGGGAGCGGCGGTGCCTGGCGACGTGACAGGAGCAGAGTGCGAGGCCGTGTATATGTGGGCACTATCCAGGCCGACTGTAGTGCCATGGCGGGAGCAGGGTGCGGTGGATGGGTTCGCTGTTGGCGCGGGCGGCGGCAGGCTCTGTGTGGCGGCACTGCTGCTGCTGCTGCTGCTCTGCTGCTGGGTGTGGTGGTGGTGTTTGGGTGCGTGGATTGTTCCGCAGAAGGTGCGGGGCTCCCGGCGGCACCAAAATAGGACGGGCTAATCCTGTCATGGCGTCTCCCGATGGCCTTGGGCGTCGGTCTTGGCCCTGGCCCAACCACGATGACGGCCATGCTGCCACTGCTGATGCTGATGCTGATGGCTCTGCACTCCCACTCCCACTCCCACTCCCATACCCGCCACGCCGGATGACAGCGCGGGTGACGCGATGCTTGCTCGCTGCTCGCACCCGCTCGCCGCGACGCACACCACCACCGTGGCCACGCCCAGCCCATGCCCATGCCCGCCTCCACCTCCACCTCCACCTCCACCACCACCACCACCACCCCGTCCGCCTTTTCGTTTTTCCTGCTCGCCAGCCCCACGCCCTATGCTGCTCTGCTGCTGCTGCTGCTGCCGACCGATGCAGACCAAACATGGGCGGTCCGTGGTCTCAAACATGGGCTGGCCATGGGATGCGAAACAGGTACGCCCCCTCCCCTGCCCTGGCTCGCGCGACAGGGCCCGGCTCCCAAATTCCGCCGTGGTTTTTTAAACGCAGAGCCATTTGCTGCCCGCAGTACTGCCACAGGTGACGGGGGGACCTGCGCAGGCTTTGCCAGACTCAGCACAGCATGCAGCGCTTTGGTCAGCAAGCGTTGGAGCATGGCGCCGGACAGGTGGATCCAGCCAAAAACACAGGCCCGCGACGCCCTCGAGCAGCCACGCCCGTGTGCCCGTGGCGGCGCGAGCACGGCATGCCATGTACTACCCACAGAGACGCTGGCCATGGACGCCCGCCCCAGCACGCCCGCCCTCTCGCGCTGCCGTGGCCGTGGCGGGCGGCGGGCACATGTCGGGGCTGCTGCTGCACGAGGGACCACCAAAGCGGGCCGGCGCTGGATTCGGCACCCTGAACAGGCGTGGGCGTAATCGTTCCATGTCCTGTGTACTATGGCTGCGCCCTTGCTCGGGACCACGGCCATGGAGGCATGCGGCGCTCGCTGGCTGGCTGGCTGGCTGGCGGGCGGGCGGGCTGGTCAGCGGGCTGACTGGACCGACGGGACTGGCCTGGCCTGGCCTGGCGAGCCAGCACCTCACCTCACCTCGCCCTGCCCGCCGCCCTGCCTCCGCCCACCCACCCACTCACCACTCCTCGCCTTCTCCTCGTCTTCTCCTCACCCTCCCTCCCCTCCCCCCCTCCCTCGTCCGACCCTCTGCGTGCCCGTGTGCCTTGTCTGCTCCCCCGCCCTCGCACTCGTCCAGCGCTCTGCGGCCGTCTGCCCTCGTCTGCCCTGCCCTCGCATCCTGCCTGCGTGACGACCAATCGTTTCATCATTGTACCTTGACACCCCGTGCACGCTCGTTCGCTGGAATCCGCCGCGCTATGACGGCCTAAGCTGTCTGACCAGTCTGACGGTCCTCACGGTCCTCCGAGCACCAAGCAGCGAGTCCTTTGTCCACTCCCTCGTCCTCCTCGAGCATTACCACCACCACCACCTCCACCTCTTCCTCCCCCCCCCCCAGAAGCCGCTCTCCCTCCCCCCCCCAGAGGCCTCGCCCACCCCGGACCCGCCTGCACTGCCTGCTCTCCGCTCGGTGCCTGGGTGCTCTCTCCATGCATTGCATCTCCTAGCAACACCCGGGTGCGAGCTTCACACCTCGTTCCACGTCCATTCTCCAAGCCTGGTCTCGACTGATTGCGCCATGGCTGCCGCCGTGCTTGACCCTCGCGCCATTGCGCTCGTCGGAGCCCCGGATGGCGACGTCGGTTTCAAGGATGCCAAACACCCGCCCGTCCAGGCCATGCAGGTCGACATCGCCCAGGACATTGTCGACGAGCTCCTGGAAAGCGCCTCGACCGGAAAGCTGCCCCAGATCATCTTTGGACGCACTCCTGTACGTTGTGCACATACACACCCGCCCAAGCCCTCTCCCACGCACCGTGCTTGTTTGCTGTGCCTGTCGCCGTCGCCGTCGTCGCTCGGCCCGGGAGGACTGGGGGCAACAACAACGCATGACATGAGCTAACCACAACAAACAGCAACTCAAGTATGGCGACAAGACGCACATGCTGCAGAGCAGCACCGAACTCCACCGATACGAACTCTACTCGTCCAGCGGGACGGACAGCCATGCCGACCACTTCGAATTCGCCGGCTTGATCCACCACAGTCTCACGGTACACCAGGCGGAACATGTGACGGCAGGCGTAGACTCGGCCCTGGAGCAGCTGAGGAGCAACATGGCAGCCATCTCAGAGTTCAAGGAAGCCAACAAGTACGCCTCCCCAGTAACCCTGCGGTTGTCTGCCCATGCCCACGCCCCCCTCCCCTTGGTCTTGTGCTGAGAGCGCGCGCGCGCGCGAGAGAGAGAGAGCGAGAGAGCGAGAGAGAGAGACTCGAACACCCTTGTCGCACGACGCAGCCATCGTACGCTGGCGATGATTTTGTGCACACGACTAACAATGCTTGCTGCAGGACAATCGTCGCCGATGCTGCCCCAGGACGCTCACAGGCCCACCGCCGTTTCCCTTCGACGGGCTTTAAGCCCTCACACCTCGCGCCCGCCAAGATTGGCTCGCCCCTGCTGAGCGCGCCCTCGTCGCCCCTGCACAAGCGCCCGCCCACGTCGCAGCCCACAAACAGCCACGATGTCGTTGTCAACGCCCTCCGCGTTCCCGTCATGCACCTGCTTGCACGCGAGCCCGCCACCGAGGCCTCGCTCGCCGCAACCTGCCGCACCTCGCTGGCCAACATTAGAGATGTCCTGCCCAAGATTGCAAAGCGCTCCACGACCGACACGGACAAGTGGCAGCTGACGGACAAGTCGTTTCGTGAAGTCAACCCCTACAAGTTCCCCTATCAGAGCGCCGAGGATCGCCAGCAAGCCATCGACGGCGCCATCAAGTCGTTTGACCGCCAGCGACTGTCCAAGGACGACAAGCTCTGGCAGATTCTGCTGCCCCAGGACCAGCGCGGCCAGGGCATATGTTTGTCGCGCTCGACAGTCAAGGCGCCCGAGGCCAAGCCAAAAGCAAGCACTCCGATACACAAGATCTCGGACCTCACCAAGAAGAAGCCCGTGGCCAAGAAGACGGCCGATAAGCCCCCTGCGGAGAAGAAGGCCAGGGCCACCAAGGATGGCGAGACCAAGCAGAAAGCAGCCGCAAAGGAAATGGAGATTAAGCCCAAGTCGTCCATCAAGGAAAAGTACCTGGCCCGCCAGAAGCTGGCGGTGAAGGAGGTGAAGGAGGAACCCACAAAAGCTTCGACCCCAGCCACGTCCACACCCCCGACCTCGACTCCTGGTACAGCCCCACCCTCTGCCGAAGCCTCCAAAGCCCGCACCAAGAAACCAAGTGCCCCCGAAGGCAACGCCCCGGCACGCACCAACAAGCCCAAGATGTCTGGCCGGGATGCGCAGAGAGAGCGTCCTGTGCAGAGGCCGTTCAAGCCCACAATGCCGGTCAACACCAAGCCCAAAAACCCCTCGCCCCTTTCGGCCTCGCCGCCCGTCAACGCCAGCGACTTTGAAGAGTCTCATCCCGTGCACAAGGCCCTTGCGGCAGCTGTGTCGCCTGCCAAATCCTCTGCCAACTCTGACCGTTCGCTCAAGCGCAAGGCCAACGACGTGGATGCCGACACTCCGGCGCGCAACCCCATGGCGAAGAAGGCGCAAGTCGAGCGCCCAACGCCCAACCAGACGCCTTCGTCGACCAGCTCAATCAAACGCAAATGTGACGACTCGTCGTCGTCGACTACGCCGTCGACGGGGCCCAAGGTGCGCAAGGTGGCCAACATCGACACGGGCCTGGCGTCGCGCTATCACCACAACAACCCCCGTGCGTCGCCGGGCGCGTCATCGTCGTCGACGACTTCACCGTCGATGCCGAGCCTGAGCTTCCGGCAGACGGTGGAGCTGTCGCAAAAGTTCCAAAAATACTACAAAAAGTACGAAGAGCTGTACTGGGAGCTGACGGAAGCCGAGAAGCCCCCAACCGAGGCTCAGCGAAACGACTTGCTGAAGATGCATAAGAAACTGGAAGAAATGAAAAGGGAGATCAAAGCGGGCGCGGGCATGCACCACCGATGAAGGAGCAGTGCGCCTTGCCGGTTATGAGACCCGCCCCAACTCCATCGGCGCTTGATTTATTACAGCACTGCTTGCATTATATATACCCACGGCCTACCAGTCTGACGAGGATGGCGGCGATTTGCATACCCCGAAAAGGAGTTTGGAAACGGATTTCTGATTTGACCTGGCGTTTGTACCGCACAGACGCCGAATGGAGCATTTTGGGAGACGGTGTTTATGTCTTGTCTTGTCCTTTTTTTTGGTCATGTTTTCTTTGGCCGCTCGAGTGCGGTTCGCCGACAGTTATTGTCAATGTCCCATGAATGCGATGATCAGTTGATGCCGGCAGTTACACAAAAAAGGTTTTGTTTCCGAGGTGGCAGGCATTAGAAGAGCAATACAATGGAATTCTATGAACAGGGTATCTGGCGTGTAATTTTGGAGGGGGGTGTATAAGGGTTCAAGGCATATGCCCTGGGCCGGGTCGCGGCAGCAGGGTGCGCGGTCAGCCTAGCGCCACGATGCGAGATGAGGGACAAGGTCCCAAGACGGGCTTTTTTTTTTTTTTTTGCGCGATTCTCGACTGTCGCCGCTGTACTGCATCGAGGCCCAGCGGAATGCGTTGTGGCATGTACATGTAGTCAGAAGACAGCCACGGCCCATGACGACGTGCTGCTGATCGGCCTCATTGCCGATCGCGGTTTCCAGACCCGCCGCAGCGTAAGAATGCCAAGACATGGCCGGGAACCGAGCGTACGACAGCCGCTTGTGCTTGCGCCACTGCGATCAGCGTCATCCACTCAGCCCTACTTGCACGCTAACCCGACGCACGCCTTGGTCAAGACGCCATGCTGTGACTGCGGCCCTCTTCCTCCACCACCACGACAACAACAGCAGCAACAACACACCACATGCGCTTGATACGACACCTGCTCTCCAGGCTTACCCGCTCGGCTCCCACCCGCCACTACGCGCACGTCCACGACATCCAAATCAAGTGGGACGGCATATCCATCGGAAATCACGGCAACCAGGATCCTGCCACCATGTCCTTGAACGGTACGTGCAACCGCGCCCCCATTGATTGGCAATCCCCCCCCCCACGGGTGGCTTAGGACCAGGACCACAGCCTCACGCCGTAACGCTGTCGTTTGCGGTTCTAGTTGTCCCCGACTTCAGTTGTTACCGGCCTCTTTGTTCATTTGCATGAAACGTTTGTTTTGCCTCAAACCGCGTGATCGCCAGGCACGCGCGTTTCAGAAGCGCAACATGGGAAGCGTTTATGCAGCCTTTTCAACATCATCACACGCCGCATCGAGGGGGGGGGCGTTTCCTCTGGAACAACACTGGCAAATAACGGGCTATTTGCTTGGGTTTGGGGGGGGCTTCAGTCTTTTATGCTAACACATGCACCTTTTTCCTCGTCGCAGTCTTCAAGCAGCCTCTGGCTCTCCACTCGACACAACCGCTCACGGGCTTCACCCGCACCGGCTACTGCGAGGTCCCGCCGTCCGATGCAGGCAACCACGCCGTTGCCGCCATCGTTTCCAACGACTTCCTCGACTTTTCAGCTGCCCGCGGCAACGACCTGCGCCAAGTGGGTCTGACGGATGGCTGCAAGTGGTGTTTGTGCCTGAGTCGGTGGAAAGAGGCGTTTGACGCACGGACTGGGCCCCATGACAAGAAAGTGCCCAAGGTGGTGCTCAAGGCCACAAACGAGAAAGCTCTAAGGGGCGTGAGTCTGAATGACTTGAAGCAATTCGCCGTCGACAAGGAGTAGCTGATGGTGGTGGTGGTGTCATGGCTATGCACGAGGGAGGACGAGGTGTGAGAACTAGCAAACTAGGAGACAGACTAACCTTTTTGTAAAACATACCATTTCGTATTTTTATCCTAGAAGCAATTCAGAAAGCGCCGGAAAAAAAATAACAAGATGGAACTACTTGGTGTTTACCTCGGGATCGAAAAAAAAAGAAGAAGAAGAAGAAGAAGAGAAAAAAAGACATTGGATTCTATTCTATCCCAACCACCAATAATAACCATTAACAAGAATTTCCTCACACTTTGCCTTATTACCTATTCCCATATTATGCCTCCGCCTTGTATACCTTTTCCCTTCCACATCCTCCTATTACACTTTGCATCTTCCTCGCTGCCTACCAACCATGTACCTACCTACCAGCCACCTAACAAACCTCACCGCCCCACCTGCCGACGCCCCCTTCCCCAATCCCTATGCCCAGCAAATCATCTATACCCATGAGCACGCCATCAAGCCCACACCCCTTGCCCTGATCCTAGCAGAACTTTGCTCGCTCCTCCAGCTCCAGCGCCTGCATGTCGCGCTCCACCAAGCCCACCATGTCCTCGGGCATATCATCATCCTCGGCATCAGCCTGCTTGAGCCACAGGCGCGTGAGATTCCACCACGCCGTGTCGTGCAGCGAGGTCGCGTTCCAGAGTAACTGGTTTTCAGCCGCGAGCAGCGGGAGCAGTGCTGTGGTGGTGGTGGTGGTGGTGGTAGTGTTTGCAGTCTGAGGCTCAGCCTGAGGCTGAGATTGATGCCGCACTGTAGCGCCAGCCAGTGCGGCCATACTACCCGTACTAGCCCCAACCTCACTGCTACTGCTACTACTGCTGGTACTGCGCTTGGCGTCGCCCAGAGCAAGCAGAATCATGTGATCCATTTCCTTTGCGCGCTCGCGGTACTCGCGCGCCAGATTGCGGCATTTGCGCTTCGAGTGCTTGTCGATGTAGCATTGCGCCGAGAGGTCGAATTTGAATTGCCGTTGGATGAGTTTGATGATTTTCTGGGTGGGGGAAAAAAGGGTGGATATGTTAGTATTGGGATTAGTAATTTGGGGATTTGAGGTGGGATGAAGATACCTTGTTCAGTCTTCCCTGAGCGTGGAAATTGCGCAGCGAGAATTCGCGTCGGGCACAGGATACGAATACTGTGGTTTTTGGGTTTTTTTTATTAGCATACCTCATTCCTTCTTCTTTTTTTTTTCTCTTCATACCTCCCCAATCCCCATCCCCATCCCAAATCCAGATCCAACACCAATCCCCTCACAACACAAAAAACAGCAAATAAACCACAACGGGGGAAAACCTACACTCCTCGCCATACTTCCAATCCACCGCCGGTCGCATAAACGGCGCGCATCCCAGCGTCTCCCAGATGAAATCGCGCGTGCCCCCGGGGCCCTCGCGCTTCTCCCACATTTTCCAGAACTTCTTGAGCGGCTTGTAGAAGGAGAGGCACGTCAGTGCTTTTTCCTGCGTGCTGCCGCGGAGCGGGCTAGATTGTGTTAGTGGGATGAAGAAACTTTTGTAAGAGGATGTATGTAGATGCTGTGCTGGGAAAGAAGATAAGGGGGCGGGGAAAGAGGAGGAAGCAAAGGGAAATGAAGAAGGAGATACATACACGCCCCGAACCTCACGCGTAGCCGACACACCGCTCAGCGCCGCAAACAGCGTGCTGAGCAACAGCAATCCGTGAAACCGCATTTTTGCCACCAAGTTCCTCGTTTTTTTTTCGTTCCGTGTATGTGCAAAGCTGAAGCTGAAATCCGAGTCTGTAACTGTATGCTGCAAAGTCGTTGAGTAAAAGGGAGAAAAGAAAGACAGAAGAGTGCTAAATATACTTCCCCTCCCCCCCCCCTCATTCTCAGTGCGTTTGTTGCACAGCCCACGACTGCGACCCATGGTTCGCACATGAGCATGGGGGGATAGCTGCAGATGTGCGAATTCAAATCGTGGTATCCTGGTTGGATATAGACTGGACTGCGTGGCGTCATGAGCCATGGGTATGGTGGGCTGGGTAAAGGGTATCCAACTGTTCGCTTTCTTATACATATATATATAGCTTTCTATACGTCCATGCACAGGGCAGTTGGTATTGGGGGTTCCCCACACATGCGGCACCAGGCGTGGGAATTGCAAATGGATTGTTGTTATCTGGCTGGGTATGTTTTTTTTTCTTGGTACATGCTAAGGTATGGTTGAGCAAGCAATGAAAAGCGTGAATATCAGCATAGCGAGAAACAATAGTAACATGATTAACGCCTTCGCTATGTCCTTATCAAACCATGGTGTGGAGCCACTGGATAGAATATCTAAACAACAACCGCGTAATCTTTCTGTAATGCTAATGGCAGTCTGCCTGACGTAATTTCGTCGTGTGTAAACCACTAACCAATAAGCAAACCCTTGACTCCACTCCCAATCCAGACCAAACCCCTGGCCGCCAGTAAGCCGGGTCCAGCATAAGCCGGTGGACTCATTCCCTTGAATGCAGCACCCGCCGTCATGATCCCTGCTCCGCCTGCCGCAGGAACGTTGGCCTTGCCTTTTTGTAGTATTGCAAATCGAAGTAGCACCTCCAGACATGTTATGCAGATACTCAGGACAATGAGCACAATGACAATCCAGGTAATCTTGGTCATCTTCTTGTCGTTGATCGAGTCTGACAAGATTTCGCCGAGATCCAGGAAGACTTGACAGCGCTCATTGAGGACTTGGATGCGTGGCTTGATCTCGAGATACTCGCGCACGGCCGTGTAGAGTGGGTGGAGAGTGGGCTCGGCATCCCAAAAGAAACTGGGTGTATCAAGCATATTGGAGGCTGTTACATGGTTAGTAAAGCTATACAAAACATGGATGCATATACATACAAAGATTCACCTCAACGCGGCTAGTAAACAGTTGTCCAATCATCTTGACAACGTCTGTCCTCCTCATGCCCAGCTTGCCCGTCAAGGCCAGACGTTTCGGTACGTATTGTGCAGCGAGCATGGTTCTGTTCATGCCCTCCTCGAACAAACTTAGTTTCGTGCTTTGTGCGATTGCATGGCTCATAGCCAGCTTAATCATGTGGTCTCCACTCTTCAAGGTGATCATATCGTTGTACACACGCGGTCGTGGGATTTCCGGGTTGTACTCGAAATGAAACTCTTCCGTCTCAAAGTCGGACTCCAACAAGGGGCGCGTTGCCAGCGACACACCAGTCGCGGTGGAAGAAAAAGTAAGGTCGGCAAGGATGTCCTTCTCCTGCCTCTCGGTAAAGTTCCAAAAGACCACCACGCCGTACGAGAAGACGAACATCTCGCCAAATGTCAGCGCATTGGGCGCAACCCTCGAGTTCTCAGCCGAATCTCGGCGGTCGTGTATGCCATCATAGGGCCGGTCCAACTCGTGTTCGTCGCGCACAAAGTAAGTCTCCTCATCCCCAAAGTACCCTTCATGGTGGTCGCGCTGCTCGTTGCGCTCGATTTCCTCGTCAAGGACTGTTTTTCCACCAGGGCTCTTCAGCGCCGGACTACTGCGGACTCGGTAGCCATCGCTTCCTGGCAGCAGGGGAAGGTGATACACCGTATACAGACAGTCATCGTACAGCTTTGTGCGCGCATGGTGTTGGTCCTTGACAAACTGTGCGGTGCCCTTCATCTTGTATGCCTGCGCGGTGCAATAGGCCGTGACGCGTGAGAGCTTGTCCGTCCTCCTGGCCTTGGGCAGCCGCTCCGCATAACTCTTGTCGTTGGGACCGCCCTTTGCCGTCCGCCTCGCGAGATCCTCGTCTGTAGGCGGGCCTTCGCACTCGTCGTCGTTGAATTCAATCTTCTCATCTTCGTCCCGGCGTTCCGTCTCGGGCAGGAGGACAAGCTTTTCGCTGAGCTTACTCGATCGCGTCGGCATATGCTGGGGTATCAGGCGACCAGACAGTCTGGGATCGAGCGGGTGTCGCCCGCTAGGGGTGCGCGTATGCATGACGGGTCGATTGCCAGGCGGGCCGCGTCGCTGCTGGCTGGGAATGTCGGAAGCGTACTGCAGAATGTTGTCGACCGAGATGAGTCGCGCGCTGGTGCCCTGCCTCTGCACGGCGCCTGGTCGTTGTGGTGGTCGGGGTGCTCTGGAGGCGCTGTCACGAGCATCCGTCATGAGCACCGTCGGCCCTCTCTTGCTCTTAGCTGTCGGTCCGCTCATTTTGCTGGTCGTTGCTATCCACTTCACTAGTGGCAGTAGTTCGCCGAGTGCTTGGTACGTCGCTGACGCCGGTGTCCCAACGTATGCGGAGGTCTAGAATGTCGACAAGAATAGGGACAAGGTTGTTGGCTGGGATCCCGATGGAGACGTGTGAATTGCGACTACTGCGGTGCGCGTTCTGCCGATACCGCGTGTATAGCTGGCATTCGAAGCTGTCAAGCCCGGCCCGGGCTCACGTCATTGCGCCTTGGCATGCATGCGCCCTAACTCCACATGCTAACGGCTCGCCAAATGCTAATCAGGGGTGCATACATCCTAGAGGAACATCACGTCATGTAGATTGAGACAGGATAGTGGCTGGTAGGATCCGTGTTGCAAAACTCATGGGGCTTGTTAATTGAATGTCTCAAACTAACTCCCAAACACCATGCTCTGTGCAGAGAAAGGCTGGTAATAACCAGAAGAGGCTCCAAGGAAGCCTCGAACCAAGAAAACAAAGGGAAGTTCCTGCTGTAGGTCGTGTATCGACGGAGCGAGGGGGGTATCTTATCCATCGCCCGCCTGAATTCCGTCTTCACGGTCTCCCCCCTCCAAACTGTTTCCAATTCTGCATCTATTCTGTGCAGATGAAAACGCCAAAGAATAAAAGCAAAGAAAAAAAACATTACACATTCGAAGGTAAAAACTGACGACTTGGTCATCGTACTTCATAAGCGCTTGCCTGGAACAAAGATGAAGAGACAGCAGAGAGCGATAGTAACGACCAAGAACATGACCAGAACAGTGATCGAGCGTCTCGTAAGCGTCTTCTTCACAAACGGCTCCCTGATCTTGTTGAAGTCAAAGAAAGTGTACTCGCTGAACCCGGCAATTGCAATGATGGGGTCGAGCATGTACTGGTGTGTGAAGATGAGGTAAATAGCAATGGTGAATGGAAGGATGATCTGCAAGCATTGTCAGCCGGCGAACATTGCAAATTGGAAGCATAGAAAAACAAAGAAAAAATCTCGTACCCAGCACCGTGTTGACCGCGACTTGTCCAAGAAGATGAGGATAAAGGAAGTCCACATGGCTGCGAAGAAGCTGATCAATCCCACAATAAGTCGCACCATCATGCTCTGCGGCACAAGATTGCCGAGTCCTTTGTTCTGCAGGAAACCGGGGTATGCGTCGCGCTCCATTGCTTGGAAGACATAGTCTTTGGCATGGTCAAAAAGTTCCGGGTCCGCACGCTGGTCTGGTCCCTCAATGGCTTCCTGAACATCGGCAAGGATGCTTTGGGGAATGATAATCTCTCTTTCGGATCCGGGGAGCAGATATGTATACAGAATCTTTTCGGCAGACGCACGCAGGTCCTCTCTCCGTGGCTGTGTGTTGTCGGCAGATGAGTTAAGGCCGGGCGAGGTCGAACCACCGGGTGTTGTCTCTGAGGCATATGGGCTGGGCCGTGTAAGGTCGCGACTCTGGTTGCTGCTCTGGCTGTTTTGCGGCGAATGGTTGCGACTTCCTCCTTCTGAGCGAATGAAAGCGGACAGGCGTTGGTCGGACATGTCCTTCTCGTTGGAGGGGCCTTCTCCGGCATTGTCCGGTGAAAAGGAAGAATGCCTGCTGCGCTTCTCCATGTCGGGCGTTTCCTCAATCATGCTCCGGTGCAATCTGCGCACATACAGGCGGCATAGCTGAAGGTGTTGCGAGACGTCGAGCCTGATGGCTTGTTAGCTTCTGACAGCCGTCTGGGCATGCAAGCGCCTCACCAGAAGTCGAGGTAGTCGACGGACCGCTGCTGGTCTCGCATGTAGATGTAAAAGGAGAAGAGGTCGAGGGGCGCGACCGTCTTGCGGCTCAGCACCTCAAACAGCGTCGGGAAGCGATTGCGGATGGGGCCGGAGTCCATGTTGACGTCGTCATGGGGGTGCGACATGACTGGTGATGGTCGTGAGGGGCGGTGGTAGCGAGAGGCGCGCGACAAAGTGTCGCTGAGGAGCGAAGAATGGGTGCTATCGATAGACGCAGGGTCTGGCGAAAGGGCGCGAAGCCCGCAATGGGGTGGCTTTGTTTTTTTCTGGCCGACTAGCACTGCGCTGCGCTGCGCTTTATGCACAAACGATCCGAGATGAGCGCTGACAGCTGACAGCTGACGGGGAGACGATGTGGCTGTGGCGATGGCGATGGCGATGGCGTTGAGCTTGGAGCAGGGCGATGGAAGCTGGACAGCGGCGGGGTCGTCGCCTTTGTCGGGAGCAGCAGCTGGTGGATTGCGCGTGTCAACACGTCGTCAAATCTCGCGTGAAGGACGGGAGATTAGGAGTGAGGTTGGGGCCACTAAGCCTTGGCGTAACGGTTGGTGGAGCGGGCGGCAGTGGCTTATACGAGTGCGAGTGCGCGCCGATTCGCGCACTGGGTTACGATGATGGGAATTCGCACCGCCTGAGGAGTCGAGTTGGGCCGAGCCGAGTCGCCTCCAGTGTGCTGCTGTGCTGTGCCTGAGTCGTTCAGCTCACGTCGTCCAGGCGGTGCTCGTGCCCATGATGTGCAATGCGCAGAGCAGCCTGAAACACGATGCCAATGCCAATGCGGCGGTCCATACGGGAGGCCCACAGCTGCAGCGGCCACCCTCGTCCACGTGACTGACCGCCCCTGCCGTTCGTGCGCGGACCTCGGTGGGCTCACCGATGCCAGTGACAATGACAATGACAACGCTTGTCAGGAGTCGGACGGGCACAGGCACTCCACCAGCTGGGGCCAGCAGCCACGATGCCGTGACGGCTGGGTGTTTCTTTTGTCGCCTGTTATTAATAGGCTGGCCAACGAGGACATGCTGCATGCGCCAGTTGAGGCATGCACTGCGCGGGAGCCTCCCGTTCTCGACACCTGCTGTCAGCCAAACCTCAGGCATCACCGTATTGAGGCCATCCTTGGAAGAAGTGCGCATAGCATACCGTACATGGCAATGGCTTGTTCGACGCCACTAGTGGCTGGTCGAGCTGAGCCAGGCAGCAGTTATTGCTTGTCTTCACACAGCCCGGCCGCCATCTATACAAGCTGGAGAGCCCTGTTCGTTACCATGATCTGCTTTTGCTTGAGCTCCAATCAGCCGTTTTCCCGAGCAATCTTGTCCCGGGCAAGCTTTGCTTCAAACAGCCAGAGACAAGGAGCAACCATGGCCACGACCGCCTCCACACTGCCCCAGGGCTTCCTTGAGGGCCCCGCACCCAACCTCACAAAGACCAAGATCGACTTTGCCAAAGGCGGTATACCAGAGTGCGAGAAATCCTGGGCCGTCGTGCTGGACGGCGTGCTGACCGAGGAAGAGTGCGAGACACTAGTCAGAGCAGCTGAAGCAACGACCGACGGCAAATGGGAGAGAGCCATGGTCAATGTCGGCGGCGGGCTTCAGGCCATGTATGAAGACACCAGGAAATGCGGGCGCATAATCTGGGACAACAAGGACATCATGGCCAAAATATGGGCGAGAGTCGAGTCGTCGGTGCCGGAGATCCATACTCTACAGAACTGGGCAGAAGTCACGGGAAATGGTCCTGTCAAGCGGGGTGAGACTTGGGTAGTGACCAGGCTGAACGAGCGGGGCCGATATCTCAAGTACACCGGCGGCGAGTACTTCAAGCGTGGGTTCTGGCTCGAGTGGTTCTTATAGCACACGCACTAACCAACGCAGCCCACTGTGACGGCGCATACGAGACACCTGATCGCACCGAGCGCTCATACTTCACGCTGCACCTATATCTCAGCGATGCTTTTGGCAAGGATGGCACGAAGCAGCTGGAAGGCGGCGCCACAACCTTCTTCAATGGAAGCATGACCCGGCGCATAGACGTCACACCAAAGATTGGCCGTGTCCTGCTTTTCCAGCATTGTCTTTTGATCCATAGCGGCGGCGACGTGGTAAGCGGGACAAAGTACACGCTACGAACAGACATTATGTATGCGTTGAAAGAAAATGTGGAAAAGCTGCAAAAGTAGACGACGCTACCAGCATGGCGCGGGCGTTGTTTGATACTAAAACCGTCGTTTCATTTTTTTTCGTTAGCAGTATCCTCGAACCTCGAACGCACAAAAGGAGCACACTTACGTGGGGAAAAGAAAAGTGAACGGCCTGCCTCGCCAGAGTAATCAGAATCGAATGATACCGTGCCCTCTTTCACCCCCAAAAGGGCTACTCGAGGCCAAGTACGCTGCGTATTGTACTACAGTGTCGCCCCTCTCCCAAAAGAAGGGAGAGAGACACACAATCTTCGCACCGACTCCCATAGGGACTCCAGTTCAGCGGCGCCCGAAGACACACGCTTTTCCGGGCCCTGAGCTTTCTGATGCCGAATGCAGACGTGAGTCACGCCAGGCTCTTACGAGCAGTACAGCCCCTCGCTCCGAAAAGCGACGAGCCTGAGTGGAAAAGTGAAGATTACTCCGAATTTCTCATTTGCAGCGTAGAGACAACTCTCTGCGCCTTGGGAAAGGGAAGAGAGCGTCTGGGTGTTTGCAAAGAAACGCAGCTTTGGCGAGGCGGGGCCGTTGAAGAGGTAAGAGGAGGGAATTTTGGCCGGGTTTTTGTAGCTGCCTTGCACTGCGCGCTAGGGTCGGCTAAACCCCCGCCGGCGACGCCAGTGCACGTGACGTGTCTCCGCTTCTGCGCTGGCGCGTCGTGATCGTGATGCGCTTTCACTGTGTCCAGCGTTTGTTTTGAAACCGAAATTACTGTTTTATCGCGTTTGCGAGCTCATCGGGATAACGAAACCCATAATGAGGCTCCCAGATATGCATGAAGAATTTTGATTATGAGCTACCGCTCGTATGTCTAGCCTTTCGCACCGCAGCGTACTAACTGCTATTACCAGTGTCTAGCCACTCCTCTTACTTACCATGCATTTGAAAACAGGCCAAAAAACCATCGAGACGAAACCAAGTCTGCTTCACCACACCGTCGACCCATTCTGCGATACAACCTGCGATCGAATTCCACTCTTGTCCTCCACCCACCTCCCATTCGTCCCATGGAAATCCGTGTTCAAATTCATCTTACTGCGTCGCTGTTGACCGGTCCCAACAGCCGGTAAGCCACTCATCGGCAGGTCTGGCGCAACAGCCACAAGACTTGGATCTGGCGGCGCACTCTCCTGCCATTCAACTTTTATCGGCTTGTCTTTCGAAAGCTTCACTCCGTCGTGCCACAGCTCAAAGGAAATATCCGCAGGTCCCATATTCACCTTGACGACATAGTTGATGCGGTGGTACTTTGGGCCTCTGTTCCACCAGTGGCGGTTCTTGAGCTTGAAGACGGAGAGCGGGACAGAGGTGAAGTCGGACTCGATTTTGCAGATGGAGCGGCAGTCTATGGGGGCTCAGCATATTACCAGGCGGTTCATGGGCGTGCAGACTTGCCGTTATTCTTTACCAGCGGAAGCCGAGACTTTTCGACGTCACTGCTAATGACTTCCGTAGGGAATATGCGCGTTGGATTGGGGTTTTGCGGCGATGCTGGCGGACACTTGCGCTGGAAACATTTCACAATCGGTGCGTCGTTGGATACAGGCTCGCTCTACCTCGATCAGCTCATTGTGTGTGAGTATGAGCGAACTGCACTCGCCTGCTTAACAAACCAGTCGATGTAGTTCGTCACATACGTCTTCTTGTCGAAGGGATCCACTTCCGTTCTTAGACCAAAGTGCGAGGGATTGGCTGGGCTGTATAGCACCTTGCACGTCGTGCCGTACGAAGCGCGGCAACATCGCCAACCAAGCACCGAACGACCTGTTTTCAGCTTTTGGACGCGATCCGCCACGTTTCCCTTGCAGACTACCATTTGTGGATCGGGTGCTATGCGTATCTGCATGCTCTCCGCATTCGGGTGCAAATGATTTCCAAACGCGTATCGGCTCCGCAGACATTTTTCAATATACGCCGAGTGTCCAAGGCCGCCGGAGAGAACTAAATGAGCCTGCCAGCTGTTACGATGGATAACAAGACAGGTGTGGTGAACGCACAACTTGTTCGCCCGGAAACTTTTCCCGCACTCGCGTGAGCTGCTTGTCCATCATGTCGAAGAGCTTAACGACCTGCCGTCCATTAGCTACGGTACCACTCATTTTAAGACTTCTTGAAACTGTACTTGAGTATCGAAGAAGACCTTCAAGTCATCCCTGCGGCTCCGTCAGTACGCCCTCTTCCTGCTTTGGCTGTACTGCTGAAACCAACCGTCGGAAGTGCATATCTCCACCCTCAATGTCATGTTCTTGGTTGACATAGCTGCGATCAAGCTTCGGAATGCGCACTGCGAATGTCTCTGTATCGGCCAGCGACTCCTCGGACCCGTAGTCACATTTTGCGCTGGCGGAAATCAGCGGCGCTCTCCATAATCCCAGCATACACCCCTCCATACTTTTGGTATTCCTTTGAAATTCGCATCTCAAATGCGGCCTGATTGATATCTGCCAGCCCCATTGGTTCCAAATCGTCGCAAATCTGCAGTCTTCGTAGGACCTCATTCTCAAAGAGACTGTCGAGCTGAGCAGCCCCAATGGTTGCACCTGTGCCATGTCAGTGGCCTTGCGCAAGCCAGTTTGGTTTCGGTACATGCCAAAAACCACATCAATCTGCTCGAGATTAAGAACGCCACCTGCGCTATCCTTGATGCGAAATACCGACAAGTCCTGTGAAGAATTAGATGTACATCCGCGAACGAGCATTGACATTTCCTACCGTCGTCCCGCCCCCGACGTCGCATACAAAAAGAATTTCGTTATTCTAGAGATATGGTTAGATGCTGTACAGGGCGGAAAATACGCACGAAAGCATTTACCTTGAAGATCCCAGGCATGCTTCGCGCTGTATGCACTGCCGCCGCCTCCGCCTCCGTCAAGCCAATAGTCGCAGTGTGCTTCGGACACGAGCCAAATCCAGCAGCTAAGATAATATTCCTGAACCTCTCCACGGTAGGTACAGGTTTCCACGTCGTTGGTACCGAGAAGATGAACTCAATAGTTGCATCTTCCCACCGACTTGCGAGCTCACCCCTTAATCGCGCTTCGATGGTGCGGTAGAGCAATTGGAAATAATCAGTGTACCTTCAGATGGCTGGTTAGCTGGTATGAAAAATAACAAACACTTTGCGGGTGAGCCGACAAACCACTTCTGCACATCCTTCATCGTAGGTAGCCTTGCCGGATCTTCAGCTTTCGATTGCATCTTTTCTAGAAGATGCTCGTCCAGCATGATCTTGAACCACTCCCTGATCTCATGTTCGGAATTGTTTCCTTCTTGCGCAGTCTCAGCGAGGAAGCCCCACGACGATGGCGTTTGCGAGTTTGGCGGGTAGATGAGCAGTGTCGGTACCTGTTGTGGTTCAGTCGGTCGTCTTGCACAGTGATGTTAGAATGTCAGACCTTGTTCTCATTTGCTTGCATTCTTCCAGGCCATTTCTGAATGTGCCGTACGTTTTCAGATCCGGTTGCGACATTGCAGTATGCGACACCAGTACCTCCAAGTTGCGTTAGTTTGGATTAAACACTGCGAATTTTGATAGAAACTCACAGGTCATTCCAAAGTCAATCCCAATCACGAGATCTGGGCGAGGCGCAGAGGCGTCCATATTGAAAGCGAATGTAATCGTGCCGAAGCACCGATTTCCAGGTTTCTGCAAATTGAGCTTCTCACCTAGGGAAATAACATGGAAGACTAAACAAGCTACAAAAATTATTAATGTGATCGGCAATGGTAACAATTGCAGGATTGAGGGAAAAAAAAAGAAGTGACAATTTCGAAATGTAGCTACCCGTGGGGCTGAAACTAGGGGCTGTATCCTCAGCCTTGGCCACAAAACGTACCGCAGTCGTGAAGGGACTAGACTGATAAGTAACGGGGCTGAATTGAATGCACTAATCCACAATCGATAGGATTTGGAAGATTTCCATTGGCGAATTCGATCAGGCTCAAGCCTTGTCATGCCATGATCACGGGTTAGGGATTGTTATTCGATAGTGCACATGCGGACGCCGCCACATGGCGCCTCATTTCGTCAAAGACTGCCGTTTCCGTAGAACAGCTACATAGTCAAAGGCTTAGACATGAATCAAAGTCCGGTGCCTCGGAAAGGCATAGCCTGCGTTGAAGCGTAGTCATTGGTGTGCGCGGGCAGAGCTGGAAGATCATTGCACTAGCATGTGGCATACTCTTTTCCGAAGTTGCTCTTTTCGCTTTCTACATCGTCGAGCCATACACAACGACAAAGCAATATGGCCTCGATACCAAACCCGATTAATGTACCTCAGACACCACCGCAACGCTCGTCGCTGAATCTGACAAGACTGCAGACTCCCCCTCCTGCACAAAAGCAGTGCACTACCACAACTTGGGTAAAAGACGAAACTACACCAAGAACCGTCACTATTCCCTGTCCAACAACTCCAGCACAAGCGTCAACAGTTCCAGCACAAACAACAGAAATTCCAGCACAGGCTTCATCCACGTTAAACACAAGCGCCGTTCCGAAACGAACAGCCAATGGACTGAATGGAGGTGCAGTCGCAGGGGTAGCCATCGGAATGTTTTTCGCTGGACTACTTATCGCAGGAGCCGTTTTCTTCCTTCTACTTCGTCGACAGAAAAGAAGGCAACACGGCAATGCCGCCAGTCACTCCAGAGCCCTCGTGCGAAGCAAAAGCGCAAAATCATCACCACATAAAGGGCCAGCGGTTCTGACAAGCGCCATTTTCACCAACATTGACGATATGATACCTCAGCCTGTATCTGACGATACAATAACTGATATGGCCTTGAAGATTCGCGACAACATCAAGAATCACGCTCGGAGCTACTACCATGCGTTGGCAGTTCCTACTGCCCGTATTAACGAAGATGGCTTAAGCGAGCTGTCAGTGGCAACGGGCGTGAGCACTGCTGTACTTGCGGATAGACTGTCGGATCCCTCAACGCGACCTGATACGCTTCGTCTTGTTATTGCATGGGTCTTGTTGTCGCGATGTACAGGAGGGCGCAAGACCAGCTTGCTCCCTGAAAAACTAGCAATGCTTGAAGCATCGATACCAGGAAAGGATGGCACCAAACCCAGTAAGTACCTTCATACCTCTGTGTCTAGGAAGATACTGACTTGGAGTTCAGCCCAGTCAGCCATGCATAGCAAGTGGAAGGCCATGACGGGAGCTCTGTTGAAGGAGCACATGGGCCAAGGAGATCAAGTCCCTGGACTCAAAGACGCGTTTGATAGCGCCTCCGCAGAGCTGGATTCCATTGTTGAACCCTTTCTCAAAGGCGACTCGGATGCCCAACGTTGCAAGAACCTGCATATGATTCTTACACGATCAGCGCAATTTGCCTTCTTGTTGTTTTCGCAGCCCGGCGTGTTCAACTTTGATTTTGGGGTTTCGGGCGGGACTTTGGTGGCGTTCCCCGCTCTTGTGCAATCCATCGGGGACGAAGGGCAGTCGCTAACGCCCGTTCGCGTATTGTTGGGCAAGGAGCTGGCGGCATGATGCTGCGGACAATGGGGGCCAAACGACTTGGATCGCGCCCCTCTGCCTCTACGACGTGTAATAAAGTTTCTTTCAAGCGATCAAGGCTTGTGAAGGCTTGTTTGAAGCGTTGCTGTTGGTGAAAAGTGATGAGGCTGAAGAGCTGAGGTTGATGTCCACCTCCACGCTTTACCTTTAAGGGTTAGCGCGAGTACCACAGACGAGAAGGGAATGCCGTCTCCCATGCCCTCCCATGCTCAAGCGGTAATCAAACGGTGATGGAAATAAATAATTCATTCATGATTGGCGTGATGCCAGAGTCGTATTAACAACGGGCTCGAAATCGGGTGGGTGCATGTGACCACATGCAGCTCAATACGCCTAACAACCAGAGATGTCAACAATCAAGCTGAGTCAAGCTCATCAATCAAGCTGGATTGACTCAACGGTCAAGCTGAGTCAAGCCAAGCTCATCAAGCTGTATCAAGCTGTATCAAGCTCGTCAAGCTCATCAAGCTGAGCTTGATAGAGCTTGATGAGCTTGATACGCCCGTGCGTAAAAAAAAAAGAATAACTATGAACTCCTTTACGTAGGCTACTAATCTATAGTAACGTTAACTCTTACCTCTATCTCTAATACTATACGTGTCAATTTATTATATATATCTTCTTATCTTACCAATTTCTTGATTGCAAGCATGCCACCAAAAAGACGCGTCCAAGCTATTGTTGCTACCCCACCGAAGCGGTCTCGGGGCGTGCCCCGCGGTACTCTAAGCCAGCCTATATCTATCGAAAGCCCGCCATCATCCTCTCGCTTATCACCTCGTCAAGCTCTAGTTGAAGCGTCCCAGGTATCGAGCTTCGAAGCGCGGCTGCGCGAAACGCAGGCTCGAGAA